TGTATTTCTGATCAATTTGATGTTGTTTTAAATGGACAAAAAAAATTGCTTTTCTTTCAAAAACAAGGACATTTCTAAGTGACCCCAAACTTTTGAACGGTAGTGTATAATAACACCCCGAATTCAAAAATACCTTGTGTTATTTTGTAGTGGCTGCACACCACGTAGACATTTCTCTTATAAATGCCTACAGACAGCTGTCAGTGGTGCTTTCCATGGTACCGTTACACCCTCTCTCTAGTTTTCTCCTAAAACTAGTGAATGGTCTTCTCTCTATAAGACTATGGGTACCTTTTAATGCGTTACTCACTTAAATTGTATTTTTTTAATCATTAAAAAAATATATATACACACACATTTAAATTGACTTACTGAAATTCAGAAGACAAATCAGGTATCTTCCTCCGGGTAGCTCTCAGTAAAAGTCTGGTCTGGGCGGTTCCATGTCGTCTTTGATCAGACAGGGAATTTCCCTTACGCTTTCCCGCTAGGGAATGCGGCACCGGTGTCTCCCTCGCAGACCTTAACTGGGATGCTCCACAGGTGAAATCACTGATCCTGTTTGTGACGCCATATTGTTGTGGACATTGTTACACAGGGACACTCGAAGTCAATCTTAAATGAATCTGTTTTTCACAGCGTGCTGGAGAGGGTCAAACCAACTCAATGCACCATAGTACACGTCTGTCAGAAGCTCTGCTAGTCTTATTTACGGCTAAACACAGACAAGTTACATCTGCATGATTTAGCATAATTAATTAATCATTCCCGTTTAGTTCTATTCATGTGACCGACCAATACTGGTTCATAACATGTGACTGACCAATACTGGTTCATAACATGTGACAGACCAATACCTCACAAGGCTTCTTCTCTCCAAGCTGATACCTTGAAACTGAGATATCTTTCTCCTCACGTTCTCAAAACAAGGTCTGGGCATACTGCCAAATTGCAGATACTGATGAGTGAGGATTCGTCCGATCAGGCACTTACTTGAACACAGAAATGGGTTATTAGAACAGCACATTAAATAGAATATAGAAATGTATAGAATGGGAAAGCACCAACATTAACATTTCCATCACAAGTGCATTCGGAAAGTATTCAGACCCATTGACTTTTTCCAAATTGTTACGTTACAGCCCTATTTTAAAATGGATTAAATATATTTTTTTCCTCAATCTACACACAATACCCCATAATGACAAAGGAAAAACAGGTTTTTAGAAATTGTTTGCAAAAATATAGTCGGAAGTTTACATACACCTTAGCCAAATACATTTAAACTCAGTTTTTCACAATTCCTGACATTTAATCCTAGTACAAATTCCCTGTTTTACGTAGGTTAGGATCACCACTTTATTTTAAGAATGTGAAATGTCAGAATAATAGTAGTGATTTATTTAAGCTTTTATTTATTTCTTCACATTCCCAGTGGGTCAGAAGTTTACATACACTCGATTAGTATTTGGTAGCATTGCCTTTAAATTGTTTAACTTGGGTCAATCGTTTCGGGTAGCCTTCCACAGGCTTCCCACAATAAGTTGGGTGAATTTTGGCCCATTCCTCCTGACAGAGCTGGTGTAACTGAGTCAGGTTTGTAGGCCTCCTTGCTCGCACACACTTTTTCAGTTCTGCCCACAAATGTTCTATAGGATTGAGGTCAGGGCTTTGTGATGGCCACTCCAATACCTTGACTTTGTTGTCCTTAAGCCATTTTGCCACAACTTTGGAAGTATGCTTGGGGTCATTGTCCATTTGGAAGACCCATTTGCGACCAAGCTTTAACTTTCTGACTGATGTCTTGAGATGTTGCTTCAATATATCCACATAATTTTCCTTCCTCATGATGCCATCTATTTTTATTTTATTTTTTTATCAGACCAGAGGACATTTCTCCAAAAAGTACAATCTTTGTCCCCATGTGCAGTTGCAAACCGTAGTCTGGCTTTTTTATGGCGGTTTTGGAGCAGTGGCTTCTTCCTTGCTGAGCGGCCTTTCAGGTTATGTCGATATAGGACTTTTGTACCTGTTTCCTCCAGCATCTTCACAAGGTCCTTTGCTGTTGTTCTGGGATTGATTTGCACTTTTCGCACCAAAGTACGTTAATCTCTAGAAGACAGAATGCGTTTCCTTCCTGAGCGGTATGACGGCTGCGTGGTCCCATGGTGTTTATACTTGCGTACTATTGTTTGTACAGATGAACGTGGTACCTTCAGGCGTTTGGAAATTGCTCCCAAGGATGAACCAGACTTGGAGATCTACAATAGTATTTCTGAGGTCTTGGCTGATTTCTTTTGATTTTCCTATGATGTCAAGCAAAGAGGCACTGAGTTTGAAGGTAGGCCTTGAAATACATCCACAAGTACACCTCCAATTGACTCAAATGATGTCAATTAGCCTATCAGAAGCTTCTAAAGCCATGACATTTTCTGGAATTTTCCAAGCTGTTTAAAGGCACAGTCAACTTAGTGTATGTAAACTTCTGACCCACTGGAATTGTGATACAGTGAATTATAAGTGAAATAATCTGTTTGTAAACAATTGTTGGAAAAATTACTAAGTAGATGTCCTAACCGACTTGCCAAAACTATAGTTTGTTAACAAGAAATGTGTGGAATGGTTGAAAAACAAGTTTTAATGACTCCAACCTAAGTGTATGTAAACTTCCGACTTCAACTGTATACACTTAGTACACCAAACATTGGGAACATCTTCGTAATATTGATACAGCCTCAATTAATCTATGTATGGACTCTCCAAGGCTTCGAAAGTGTTCCACAGGGATTCTGGTCCATGTTGACTCAGTTGTGTCAAATTGGCTGGAGGTCCTTTGGGTGGTGGACCATTCTTGATACATACAGGAAACTGTTGAGTGTGAAAAACCCTGCAGCATTGCAGTTCTTGACACAAACCTGTGCACCTGGCACCATACCCAGTTCAAAGGCACTTAAATATTTTGTATTGCCCATTCACCCTCTGAATGGCACACATACACAATCCATGTCTCAATTGTCTCAAGGCTTTAAAATCCTCCTTTAACCTGTCTCCTCCCCTTCATCTACACTGATTGAAGTGGATTTAACAAGTGACATCAATAAGTGATCATAGCTTTTACCTAGATTCACCTGGAAAGAGTGGGTGTTCTTAATGTTTTGTATACTCAGTGTACCTAGCAATAAACACGAAAAAAAAAAACATTTCTCATCTGCTATAACAATACAGTAACTCGAAAACTAGCTACATAGAAATGGAAATATTGTACTCACAGTTCTTGAATTCACGCGCAGTAAAGGATAAAACAGTTAGAATAATAATGTTAGAAAACCAGTGATTCTCTGCACAGCTACAGGTGACGAGCTAAATTTAGCTGGGAGTTAGCTGCATAACACTGCGAGCGCCTGTTAGATGTGACGTCATCAGTCACCCTTAAAGGGACAGGCTTTCTTACAGGTGACTAAAATTGAAATTAATATAGAACTGTTTTGTAATTAATGTTATATTGTACTGGAACTAATGACAACAAATTATAATTTAATGGGTTCAATATTTTTTTAAATATTAGGATTCTGATTGGGGTGACAAAATCCTACCTATAGGATCCAATCGCGTTACTTTGGATTTCCAATAGGAAAAGAAGTAGTTCAATAGGTTTCCAATAAGGGTGATACAAAATCCTATAGGATTGCAAGAATCATATAGCATTCAATAGGATTAGTTTTGATTCCCAATAGGAAAAAAGTAGTCCAATAGGATTCCAATGGGATTCTGATAGAGGTGACACAATTAAGTGATAATGCCCGAGAAGCCGGTGTTTGGGGGATATATTGGCACGGGAGTAAATGGCCATTTTAATGTCATAGATTTTGCCGGTGGTAACTTGTGGAATAGACACAGGTTTTAACCAATCAGCATTCAGAATTAGACCCATCCGTTGTATATTTAAGTGATAATGCCAGAAAAGCCTATGTTTGGAGGATATATTGGCAATAAATCCTAACCAACACCAGCTACAAGGGCATTATCACTTTTATACAAGGGGTTACCAACATATTCAAATATGATTTATATATTTTAATTAAAAACGTTATTTTGATGAATTTATTCATACTCTTTCATCCTTCCACAAGATATAGTCCCAACACAAATCTAGGATTGCTACCCAAGCAGGCTGGTCGTTCGTTTTATCAGATTGGTTGCCCTTGATGTGACCCAGTCCTTAAGTCTTTTTGTTCTGTATCAATGGACGTGACTCAGTCATTCGTTCTAAATGTTCTGTTGTCATACTGGCTGACAACGTTCTTTATCCCTTGCTTGCCAGCTAGCAACTACGACTAATTTACAGTCACGTCAAACAGTGCAGCCAGAATAACAACAAAGTAGCGCATTTGCATAAGCTGTTTTCTAGTTGCATTTACTTGGATAGATTCCTAACAATTAGCTAATGAAGCACGATTTCATGATTCATGATTTCGACTGGCTGAGAAAAGCTGCCTGCCTGTCTGTCTCATCCCGAATCCCGACATGTTCATTTCTATGCACAGCTGGAGATCGAATTTGAATATTGAAACAATGTTGCAAATGTCGGAGAGACAGGCAAGGTTTATACAAATCTCCACTGTTGAAAACGAAATGTTAGTCAATGTCTACCTGCTTTTTATAGTGGAGATCAAGTTTATAAATTGTCTGGCTGGGCTGATGAGGTAGTGGATTGCACAGTAAAATGGAACAGAGTAAATAGACATTTTTATGTCATAGATTTAGCCAGTGGTAATTTGTGGAATAGACACTGGCTGGAATGCGGTTTTAACCAATCAGCATTCAGGATTAGAACCACCCGTTGTATAAAATCCTATAGGATTGTGAGAATCCTATAAAAATCATTAATCCTATAGGATTTTTTGACTAGGGAAATTAGCAATTCCATTTTTTGTTGACCAAATTCGGCAGTCTCTTGACCGCCATCGAAAAATTCCTCACTTCGTAGATGTATTTTCGTGGACAAATTTTGGGCGGAGTAAACCCTCTGGCTTCGCCTCTTCCTCTCTGGTTGAGTTTATAGTTGGTTTACCTTGTCTCGCAGGTAAAAAACTGTTGTAGGAAGCATTTGGGAAACGAAACTATACCGCATCTGTTTTGTGGCCAATTTAATTTAAGAACAATAGTAGAATACAAATGTAAACTCTTGCTCTTTGAGGAATATAACCTTCCGGAAGAAAACTCTGTGGAAGACCCGCGATCACTCTTCCTATGCCGTGAGTAAAACGTAGCCTTAACACATGGAAACGCATATGTACTGTCTTTGTTAAAACAGGCAAATTAATAAACCCAAGTGTAATTTTTGTAACAATACACTACAGATGGAACAAAACACGATATTTGATTGGATATGTATTTTGGAAGTGGCACCTTGACAATTATAGTAACTTATTTTGACAGAAGGCTGTAGATGGACTGAAAAAGTCGTCGTGCAGTTCAACCCGCTGGTTTGCGGTGCTGAGTGTCAGCAAATTAGTAACCTTTTATTATATGAAGTAGGCCCGGCCGGTTTATCAAACAGCTGTTCGGCGGATTGTTTTAATCTCAACTCCCCGTAAAGTCTATCAAACAAAATATTTTGATGACGTTCACCTTATGACACATTTGTTTACATTTTGGCCTACTTCAGCAGCCTACGTTGAATGGACTGTCACCGTCCTCATTCTGGCTTCTATAATGCCATTATTAATAGCGTGTTGTTTACTTTCTGTGAAAGAAGGTTTTTAACATATAGGCCAGGGCGTTCTGGAGATCCAGGGCGCAATTTTCTGACCTAGCACAGTAATAACACACCTGAATCAGGTTCTCATCTAATCCCCAAGCCCTTGGATTTAGTTGAATCAAGTGTGTTAATATTGGGCTAGAACACAAACGTGCACCACTGTGGGCAGGGGTCACCGTAGTGTCGGCCATAACACATATAAGGCTGAAATTGAAGTTTTTGTATTTAATCTTGTTGTGTTTCATTGATCCTGTAGGTTACGTACACCCCACACCCACAGGATAGATTGGGTAACTTTTCTTGGCACTAAGGGATATGTGATGGTTGATATTGTTGGTTGGTTTGGAAGGGGTTGCAGCCTCAGGTGACTAATGTTTAAAGTTTGATTTGCCATGCCAAGGGCCTGCAGCATACATTTGACATGTCATATAGTCAGGCATTGACTTAATATCTATGTAGTATCGTTGTTGTCTATTGATTCACGTCTACTTTACGTTGTCTGTCTGAAACCGCTGATTATTATGACAGGGCTAAGCAATGTTCTTTATAAATATAACATACATATTTCATACATTAACGTAATGCATTGCCCTTTCCCCCCCACACTCCCTGTCCTCTTCTTTCCCAGGCCCTGGCTCTAGTTAACCACCATGCCCAGCAGCAGCACAGGGAGCCCCAGACCCTGGTCAGAGCCAGGGGGCCAGGACGGCCTCGCCCCTGTGGGACCCAACCATCAACTCTCCCGGGGCAGCAGCACCAGCCAGGAGTACTGCTATGAGGAGCGATGTGTGGACCCGGTAGAGGAGAGGCACCAGGGGCCCAAGGTGACCTACCACAAGGCCAACGGCAGGGAGGCTGAGGAGACCATCGGCTTCATCCCCGGATCAGCAGACTCTCCTTCAGGGGGTCAGGGGTGTGGTCCCTGTGCCCCCTCCTCCCCAGGCAGCTGTAAGAGCTGGGTGTGCAGTGTGCTGACCTGTGGACTCTACAGGGAGTGTTGGAGCACCATCCTGGCCCCCAGTCCCAGAGGGAGCTCCCCAGATGACGATCAGGAGAAGGTCAGCCTCCGGGGTCTCCAGGGCCACCCTGTGACCAATGACCCCCGAACCAGGAAGGAGAGTGGGGGTGGTGGCTCTGATTGGTCGGAGGACGTCTACATCAGAGGGGTCAAAGTGGACATTCCCAGAATGGAGGAGGAGCCGGTGATCATTACCAGGCCTCCATTACACAATGGAAGAGGTTGTGGAGGAGGAGGGAGCCTGTACAGCCCTCCCTCCTACTCCTGGAATGAGGGGGATATGGGTGATCTGAGCATGGGTGACGTGGACTCTCTGATCACCCAGAAGCTTCTGGAGCTATACTCTGAGTACCAGATCGAGGAGCTGGCCCACTGCACCTCAGACTCAGTGTTCCTGAAGAAGACCAGTGAAATCAGCCAGCTTATCAGTGACCTGGCTGAGGAGCATCAGCTTGATGAGCAGGATGCAGAGTGTCGACTGGTCAAGGGCATCATCAGGTAGCTACCATTCACTGGTAGGGATTAACTGCCTTGATCAAGGGTACAACGTGTGTGTGTGTGCGTGCGCACAAGCAGTTGGGTATCGTGACAGCAAATTAATACATTTACTTTGTAAAATGGACAATAAAGTTGATATACTATTTTCATCTATTTTATCAGGATCAGCACTAGGAAGAGCAAGAAGAGACCTCAGTGCAAAAGGTCACAGAGGAGAACCTCAGACAGCGGTAACGAAACCATGAGCAACTACCAAGCATCAACCATCAGCAATAACAGTAAGCAACACCTCTACTGATAAACATTTCCAATAGCTTTTCCCTTATTTTACATACTTGTTGAAGTGATACTTCATTGTCATTAATTTGTTATTACACTGTTAGTTGACTGTCACTCTCTCTGTTTGTTGTTTTTTTTACCTCGAAGATGATTATGATATCCAGATATCCAAGGAGACAGATTCTGATATGAACGCTAGGAACATGAGGATGAACAGTGGAGCAGGTAAGAGACTTGACGTGTGTACTGTATGTTGCTGTGTGTACTGTACAGTGTTATTGTAGTCATCATTAAGCGCTTGTTATGATAGGGTTAGAGTCCTTCAAGACACACTTTTACTGAAACCGCATTGCCTCTGCTAAATTGTTGCCACTACACCCCAGAAAAATTGTGGGGATCGAAAAACTATTTCAGTGTAAACTTAAATGACTAAAACCAGACTAAGTTTATAGAAAATATAATTGATCTATATATTTTTTAAGATGCAGTAAGTCTTGTCAGAAGCTAGCAGATTCATTACTTACCAACAATATCTGTAAGTTCCAATAAAACAACATTATGTTTTCAAGTTCACTTTCCTTACTTTTTTCTAACAATACTATCATGAATCTAGCAAAGATGTTTTGTGGGTCAGAGTGCAGTATTTATTTAGTTTTATAGCACAAACGTTTGTTAGCACGTTTCTCATACTGGCTTTAGCCACGAACAGAGCGGCAAGTGCAGGGGTGTTGCCTAGCAACCTGTTCCTCGGAGGAAGTTAACTTCTGCATTGAGAAACAAATTCCCATTATTTGAACAGCTAGCACGACAGCTAAAATGGCTTTGGAAAAAATATGTTTTCAGCTAAGAGGGAGAAGTATCTAACAAAATAACTACATTATGTAATTCACTAATCATAAACTATTTACAATAGAAATGTCAGTATATTTAATAAAAATCTTACTTACTCAACTTTTAAATCCTATAGTCTTTGAGAACTTGTAATCACCCCAAGAAAATCTACAGCAATGAAACCAATTAAATAAAACAATGAATTTAGGAGTACTTTTGGCATGGCTGGATTACCGCCCAGGCACGCAGGGCACATGCACAGGGGTCCCAGTTGGGGTCCCCATTGATTTTATGTTTGAGCATAAGAACACAGAATTAGCCATAGCAACATTTGTAGAATTGCAGACAATTTGCTTTAAAATGGTAAAATGTTGTCTCAGCTCCATGGAAATGTTCCTAGAAGGAAAGTAGGCCACTTTTGACCCAGAAAAAACCTTGCACACACCTGCCTGATAATAGTGTATGGTGCCATGTATGGTAAAATAATCGGTACTAAAATATTGTTTTACCAATATGTTATTGGGCTCATTTCTGGGAGGGGTTATAGATAGATGGTGTTGGCAACATTTGATTTTCATTCATTTTGGAGTAGAATCTCCTTATAAAATGTCACCAGAAATTACACTACATGACCAAACGTATGTGGACACCTGCTCGTCGAACATCTCATTCCAAAATCATGGGCATTAATATGGAGTTGGTCTCCCCTTTGCTGCTATAACAGCCTCCACTCTTCTGGGAAGGCTTTCCACTAGATGTTGGAACATTGCTGCGGGGACTTGCTTCCATTCAGCCACAAGAGCATTAGTGAGGTCGGGCACTGATGTTGGGCAATTAGGCCTGGCTCGCAGTCGGCGTTCCAATTCATCCCAAAGGTGTTCGATGGGGTTGAGGCCAGGGCTCTGTGCAGGCCAGTCAAGTTCTTCCCCCACCGATCTCGACAAACCATCTCTGTATGGACCTCGCTTTGTGCACAGGGGCATTGTCATGCTGAAACAGGAAAGGGCCTTCACCAAACTGTTGCCACAAAGTTGGAAGCACAGAATCGTCTAGAATGTCATTATATGCTGTAGCGTTAAGATTTTCCTTCACTGGAACGAAGGGGCCTAGCCCGAACCATGAAAATCAGCCCCAGACCATTATTCCTCCTCCACCAAACTTTACAGTTGGCACTATGCATTCGGGCAGGTAGCGTTCTCCTGACATCCGCCAAACCCAGTTTTGTCTGTCGGACTGCCAGATGGTGAAGCGTGATTCATCATTCCAGAGAACGTGTTTCCACTGCTCCAGAGTCCAATGGCGGTGAGCTTTACACCACTCCATTCCAGCCGAAGCTTGGTATTGCACATGGTGGTCTTAGGCTTGTGGGCGGCTGCTCGGCCATAGAAACCCAGACGAACGATTATTGTGCTGACGTCGTTTCCAGAGGCAGTTAGGAACTCGGTAGTGAGTGTTGCAACCGAGGACAGACGATTTCTACTCACTACGTGCTTCAGCACTCGGCGGTCCTGTTCTGTGAGCTTGTGTGGCCTACCACTTCGCGGCTGAGCCGTTGTTGCTCCTAGACGTTTCCACTTCACAATAACAGCACTTACAGTTGACCGGGTTAGCTTTAGCAGGACAGAAATTTGATGAATTGACTTGTTGGAAAGGTGGCATCCTATGATGGTGCCACGTTGAAAGTCACTGAGCTCTTCAGTAAGGACGTTCTACTGCCAATGTTTGTCTATGGAGATTGCATGGCTGAGTGCTACATTTTATACACCTGTCAGCCATGGGTGTGGCTGAATTAGCCGAATCCACTAATTCGAAAGGGTGTCCACATACTTTTGTGTATGTGTGTGTGTGTGTGTATATATATATATATATATATATATCTCTTCTCACAGTCCTTATACAAAAAAATTATCCAGATGGGAATTCCCCGGTGATTCCCCCCCTTCCACGAACTTTGCCACCGCTGCACAAAAAATTATGTAGGGGAAGCACTGAAACTGTTTGGGTTAGTATCTGAGTGAGTGAGAGAGATCTAATAGACTGAATGTTGTGGCAAATATCCAGCGTTATCTCTTCCCCTGATAGATACTGTACTTACCTTTCCGTGACATTTATTGTGAACATCCTATTTATTTAAGCCTATCCAAGAGGTTGATTGGTTGCCTTAAGGTTGTATCTCATTGGGCAAGTCAGACTTGTATTGTATTTGTCAGACACAAATAAATAGGTTTCACTTCATTCTGCTGGTAACTATTGGTAGAAACGAAACCCTGGAATATGAACCTATTGAATCATGTAGATGACAAGTTGTTCTTGATGATGTAGGTCTTGAACCAATTATGTAAATATGACTAAACCTGTGGACTTAACTTCATTTTGCACACTTTTGTAAGTTAATGATGTTGATGACTAGGTACTCCTGATGTTTTTATGTAATTTGCATTTGATATGTGAACTATGAAGCCAAAGACACATTTCCTCATTACGTGGACAATGAAGTTTGTCTGTTCTATTATATTCTACAACTCATGCCTTCTTTATCATATTTTGATTTAAGCAGAAAGTTCTGAGCATCAGAACATGATGACCCATCCTCAACACTTCTGATGCCATGAAGCTACTCACCAGTCCCCAGCTGGAGAGGTTGGACCCATAGAGATACACATATTATACAGTGAGGGGAAAAAAGTATTTGATCCCCTGCTGATTTTGTACGTTTGCCCACTGACAAAGAAATTATCAGTCTATAATTTTAATGGTAGGTTTATTTGAACAGTGAGAGACAGAATAACAACAACAATATCCAGCAAAACGCATGTCCAAAATGTTATAAATTGATTTGCATTTTAATGAGGGAAATAAGTATTTGATCCCCTCTCAATCAGAAAGATTTCTGGCTCCCAGGTGTCTTTTATACAGGTAACGAGCTGAGAATTGGAGCACACTCTCAGTTTGTTACCTGTATAAAAGACACCTGTCCACAGAAGCAATCAATCAATCAGATTCCAAACTCTCCACCATGGCCAAGACCAAAGAGCTCTCCAAGGATGTCAGGGACAAGATTGTAGACCTACACAAGGCTGGAATGGGCTACAAGACCATCGCCAAGCAGCTTGATGAGAAGGTGACAACAGTTGGTGTGATTATTCGCAAATAGAAGAAACACAAAATAACTATCAATCTCCCTCGGCCTGGGGCTCCATGCAAGATCTCACCTTGTGGAGTTGCAATGATCATGAGAACGGTGAGGAATCAGCCTAGAACTACACGGGAGGATCTTGTCAATGATCTCAAGGCAGCTGGGACCATAGTCACCAAGAAAACAATTGGTAACACACTATGCTGTGAAGGACTGAAATACAGCAGCGCCCGCAAGGTCCCCCGCTCAAGAAAGCACATACACAGGCCCGTCTGAATGATTCAGAGGAGAACTGGGTGAAAGTGTTGTGGTCAGATGAGACCAAGATCGAGCTCTTTGGCATCAACTCAACTCGCCGTGTTTGGAGGAGGAGGAATGCTGCCTATGACCCCAATAACACCATCCCCACCGTCAAACATGGAGGTGGAAACATTATGCTTTGGGGGTGTTTTTCTGCTAAGGGGACAGGACAACTTCACTGCATCAAAGGGACGATGGACGGGGCCATGTACCGTCAAATCTTGGGTGAGAACCTCCTTCCCTCAGCCAGAGCATTGAAAATGGGTCGTGGATGGGTATTCCAGCATGACAATGACCCAAAACACACGGCCAAGGCAACAAAGGAGTGGCTCAAGAAGAAGCACATTAAGGTCCTGGAGTGGCCTAGCCAGTCTCCAGACCTTAATCCCATAGAAAATCTGTGGAGGGAGCTGAAGATTTGAGTTGCCAAACGTCAGCCTCGAAACCTTAATGACTTGGAGAAGATCTGCAAAGAGAAGTGGGACAAAAAAAATCCCTCCTGAGATGTGTGCAAACCTGGTGGCCAACTACAAGAAACCTCTGACCTCTGTGATTGCCAACAAGGGTTTTGCCACCAAGTACTAAGTCATGTTTTGCAGAGGGATCAAATACTTATTTCCCTCATGAAAATGCAAATCAATTTATAACATTTTTGACATGCGTTTCTCTGGATTTTTGTTTTGTTATTCAGTCTCTCACTGTTCAAATAAACCTACCATTAAAATTATAGACTGATCATGTCTTTGTCAGTGGGCAAACGTACAAAATCAGCAGGGGATCAAATACTTTTTTCCCTCACTGTATTTCCCTCACTGTATGTTATATTTAATTCTGTGTTGGGACCTTGAAGGAGCCAGAGAATTGCACTCGGTTTAATGAAGTGGGAGGAGTATTACGCAGAGGCAAACTCCTCCAAAGACCATGACTTTGCTTTGAAAACTATACTATGAATCGTGTCATCTGTATTTTGAAGGATTATAATGTACTCAGGGTAGTGAATGTATTTTTGATTCTGACATATTGCGTCCATGTTTGGGTGTTGGTTTGTCTCAGAGAGAAGGTACCGTAGACTTACCAGACCCTTAAAGCAGCTCCCCCTGTTTTGATGTCCGTTCTTCTTATCGCCTTCATATTACATTAGTGCTGTGTGTGTCCCTTTACCCTTGAATAACAACTAGCTGTGTTGATAGGAAACCCGACTCTCCACTGCTGTTTGACCTCTTTCTGCTTTATCAGTTCAACCCACAACACTGTGGTACAAGAACCAGTTTCAAGGTAGTGTAAGCACTTCCAGTGTGGTGCAGGGTGAAGTATACTGACCCAAGAAATATAGATAACTGCACACTTGATTGCTCCACGGTTTTATTGTGCAATGTTTGGACCCGACGGTCTTAGTCTTCGTAAGGGTTAACCCATGTGAATAATGCAGTGGTTTGGACACCAAGAACCAACCTGGAATGTACTGAAGGCCAAAAACCACTCGGAACGTATGAAGAAAGAAGGCCAAAAACCACTCGGAACGTATGAAGAAAGAACACAGAACACCTCAAAGACAATGGATGATGGTATTGACTTATTGGTGACTGTGAAATACAATTGTAGATGTACGTTTTGATGCCATGGGAATATCATACTACTATACATAACTTTAATCCTGGTATCGCTTTAAGATTGGTTATGCTTCAATCTCTAGTGAGCATGTGGCCCAGCTAATGCTGTAACATGATATTGTAGACTCCAATGAGTACAATGTGAAATTAACTTATAATGTATGCAATTCTGTGATTTAAATAAAACTATAAAAAAAGTGATACATAAATTAAGTTGTAAAGGCATTAATGCCATTCTAATCTTGCACATTTTGTCTTCTGTTTTATTGTGGTCGGTATAAAGGAAATGAGTTGCTCTCTATTTTGAGAATTCTAACTTCCACTTAAGTCTAATTTTTGTGATGCATAATGGCAGACTAAGTGGGCTTATGTGGAAGTTAGGATCTTCCACTCTAAGCGTGTCTAAATTAATGACTTACATTTTAATAAAAAAATCTTCCAGGCAAGTATGTCAGAACCTGTGACTAGCTCACCTTTCATTAGCTTGCCAGTAGAAGAGTCAAGAGTACTACGTTTTGTCTGTTGTTGACATTAAGTTCTGTGTATGTCTGTGTTTTCTTTCTCTCTAAATAGCCTTTTCCCCTCGCATGACTGGACATGAGTCAGCGAGTTACTCACACGCAGTATTCTTCCAATCTATTTACAACACGCAGTATTCTTCCAATCTATTTACAACTCAGTTCTGTGGAGTTGATGTATCAAAATGGAAGAATGTCTGACAACATGCAGACAGTGAGAACCAATGAGGGTTCTGTGAAGTGAAACATTTAGAACGTTGCAGATTGAAATGAAAAGATCTGACACAATTCTCTTATTCTACAATGGAAGGCAAGCATTTATTTTTTATTTTACTCAATCCATTTTTGTCTGAATGTTCTGTAATGTTTTGCCTTGTTGAACAGGCCCACATTTATGACTTAAGCTACACAGACATCTCTTGCAGGTGCACAGTGACCGGGTGTTCATTTGTGCCCCTTGGGGACAACTTTTATCTTTGGCAAGGACAAAATAATACAGGCCACCAAACGACTGTAACAAGATGACTGATTACATGTTTGGTTGTTCATGTAAAACAGGTTATTCTGGTTCTGGCCATAGACAGGAAATAGATGAGTGTTGACACATTGTTGAGCTAGTTGGAGTTTTGTAAGTCTCCCTTACCATGCGTTGAAATGTTAAATCCCAGGTAACGTCACTCAAGGGATTTTTGGTACTTTCCATTCCATACTCCCCTGTTCAGTATACGGCACAACAGATATTTGTAGTTACAGGTAGAAAACCACTAGTGGGAGCCAGAGTACATATCATGCTACGAGCCAGTACAATAGTCCATGATTTTTCTATCAATTAAAAATACAGTAGCTCTCACTATATTCATTTATTTTTTTCACACCACTGATAAATTGCCAGATGTATGCCAAAAACGAATGATAGAAGAATGATTAAACATATGGATAGAAGAGAGAGAAACTGAAAAATTGTGTTTATACAACTTTTAATGCTTGGTTGCAATCTTCACATTCATATTTGTCAGTAGAAAATACCCTAAAATATCATTCACACACATACACCATACACCCACACAAACTTTCAGCTGTACTCTTGTCTAATAAACAGCATCTCACTTAACAAGTCAAACAGATTTGCCTGACCAATAACAGGTCTGAAGAACAGTTCTGTGATGAGTGATTGGCTGACAGCCTGTAGGGCAGAGGTCGATAGTAGGATGCGGCTGAATCGACCCGAGTCTCCTGGGTGAAGGGTCAGGACAACCTCCTGTAGAGCTCTCTGGGCCTCCTGTTGAAGACCGTCAATGACTACAGTGGTGCTCAGTCCTGGGACAGCTATTAAGAGGAAGTGGGGTAAATGGAATATCAATTCAACTGTATTCCACCATCAGCAGTTCAACACTAATGTGACAGAAGAGTTAAGCTGTTTGCCATCATTTGTCATGTTAGATTATTAAATAATCATTGATTATGCCATTGATTGCTTCAAATATTTCAATTGAATGACATTAATAGAATGTCAGTTCAGGTAGATTTGGAGTTCCACATTACATCATAGACTGCTGAGAAGAAGTAGAAGAAGAAGATCTTTACCTGGATTGAACAGCATAGCACCCTTCAGATAGGCATATTCCTTTGGGCTGAGATCCAGAGTCCACAGTCTGTACAGACAGGATCTGAGTTTATGCACCCCAGCAAGCGTGGGCAGTGACCTCTTCCCCTCATCTTCCTCCTCATGCTCTTCCTCACTCTGTGGCCCCTGACCGTTGAGGAGGATCCTCCTCAGCATGCTAGCCTGTGGTACATCCTTCACCTCGAACACAGTCCGTTCCTGGGCCAGTCCCAGAGAGAACAGGGGCACCCAGCAGTCCCTCAGCAGAGTTAGCTGATCCTCCACTGGAAGCTGACTGAAGGAGGGTAAACTCTTCATGAAGCGGATGGTTTTGACCAGAACATCAGATGCCACCTGACAAGTTCCCTCAGGGTTCTTCAGACACACTGCCCGTCGCCGCTCGCAATGACAGTTGTGAGGCATCATCATGTTGTAGTCGTACTGGTTCACGTGGTTGTTTTTGATCAGGCTGTTGTTGTTGCTGTAGTTACTGTCTGCCCAGCTCAGGATATTGTACAGGATGCTGTGAGGTTTTTGTTGTTGCTCCCGGTAACCTGAACAGTGACAGGTGGTCTTCATCTCTTCAAGAGGAAACATCATGATGAATTTCCCTTTGAGGATCAATAAAGTATCAACCAATCAATAGATGATAAGATGTCACCAGGGCAGAAGCTTTATTACAGAGCTATGCTACAGAGGTGAGAACAGTCATATTCTCTCTTTGAAATATTGTCCAGCAGTATGATCAGCAGATCTGACTGCCTGACAACTCCAGTAGCCCGAGTCCTATTTATAGGAAGATAGGACACGCTCCTCTGATCTGTGTGTGACAAGTCAGCCTTGACCCCTCCCCCTCAGACCACACACACACACACACCTGAGAACAACAGAGTGACCCTGGACTGCTCTGCTCGCTGTGTTAGGTCAAATCAAATTGTATTTGTCACATGTGCCAAATACAACAGGTGTAGACTTTACTGTGAAATGCTTACTTATAAGCCCTTAACCAACAATGCAGTTCAAGAAATAGAGTTAAGAAAATATTTACTAAATAAACTAAAGTCAAAAAATCTAATCAAAATCTAAAAGTAACACAAGAAAATTACATAACAAAAACAAGGCTATATACAGGGGGTACCGGTTAGTCGAGTGACTGCATAGATAATAAAGTGACTGCATAGATAATAAACAGCGAGTAGGGGGGTCAATGTAAATAGTCTGGGTGGCCATTTGTTTAATTGCCATTTGTTTAATTGTTCAGCAGTCTTATGGCTTGGGGGTAGAGGCTGTTAAGGAGCCTTTTGGTCCTAGACTTGGCGCTCCGGTACCGCTTGCCGTGTGGTAGCAGAGAGAACAGTCTATGACTTGGTTGACTGGAGTTTTTGACAATTTTTTGGGCCTTCCTCTGACACCGCCTAGTCTATAGGTCCTGGATGTCAGGAAGCTTGGCCCCAGTGATGTACTGGGCCGTACGCACTACCCTCTGTAGCGCCTTACGGCCAGATGCTGAGAAGTTGCCATACCAGGCGTTGATGCAACCGCTCAGGATGCTCTCGATGGTGCAGCTGTAGAACCTTTTGAGGATCTGGGGACCCATGCGAAATCTTTTCCGTTTCCTGAGGGGGAAAAGGTGTTGTCGTGCCCTCTTCACAACTGACTTGGTGTGTTTGGACAATGATAGTTTGTTGGTGAAGTGGACACCAAGGAACTTGAAACTCTCGACACGCTCCACTTCAACCCCGTCGATGTTAATGGGGGCCTGTTCGGCCCTCCTTTTCCTATAGTCCACGATCAGCTCCTTTGTCTTGCTCACATTGAGGGAGAGGTTGTTGTCCTGGCACCACACTGCCATGTCTTTGACCTCCTCCCTATAGGCTGTCTCATCGTTGTCGGTGATCAGGCCTACCACTGTTGTGTCATCAGCAAACTTAATGATGGTGTTGGAGTCGTGCTTGGCCACAAAGTCATGGGTGAACAGAGAGTACAGAAGGGGACTAAGCACGCACCTATGAGGGGCCCCAGTGTGGAGGATCAGCGTGGCAGATGTGTTGTTGCCTACCCTTACCACCTGGGGGCGGCCCGTCAGGAAGTCCAGGATCCAGTTGCAGAGGGAGGTGTTTAGTCCCAGGGTCCTTAGCTTAGTGATGAGCTTTGTAGGCACTATGGTGTTGAACGTTGAGCTGTAGTCAATGAACAGCATTCTCACATAGGTGTTCCTTTTGTCCAGGTGGGAAAGGGCAGTGTGATTGAGATTGCGTCATCTGTGGATCTGTTGGGGTGGTATGCGAATTGGAGTGGGTCTAGGGTTTCCGGCATGATGGTGTTGATGTGAGCCATGACCAGCCTTTCAAAGCACTTCATGGCAACCAACGTGAGGTCTACGGGGCGGTAATCACTTAGGCAGGTTCTCTCCACGTGGAGCGAGGTGAAAGGGCGTATTCAATACAACTGTGACATTTGCCCTGCAGGGAGGGAGAGACATGAGGAAGCCGGCTGCACTACGGGGTCAATGACATTTATCATTTATCATGTTTATCTCCAGTTATTAACTCAGCCTGTACCAGGCTACCAAGGACGGGGTCAATGATCCCATACAGACTGCTACCCCAACACACAGCCTTGGTTCAGTCTTCCATTACGTGCTAGTTAAGGGGTAAACAAAAGGGGACTCAGGATCATAGGATAGCAGCATTTGGTACTGACAAGGAGTAATATAATTTTAGGAAAATAACAACACAAGTAGCCTAGATCCTAATCACATAGATAGATATAATTTTATTCTCATGATCAATAGCCTACTTTATTTTTGGCCTTACATGTGTTTTTGCAAATAGGCTATCCAACCTAGAAAACATTAATCTTTCCACCCATGTTGCATATCACTTAACATAACAATGTGTGATGGTCACTGTGACCCTTATTTCAGTTTATTTGAATAGTTCAGTCATGGCTCCACAGATATGTTATCGGGGTCAAAGAATGGAACAGTGAGCTGTTGGTCGTTGACACCTATCCATCAGCGATATCTCCTGCTAAATCACTATCATTGACAATAAATGAGGATTAGAATTAGAAAGATGTTATCCAACTATTAAATGTAACATTTTCTCAATGGGATTTCTGAAGACAAACATGGGTCATTACCAATTCAGAGGTGGGGAAATTAGCTATAATGGCTACAACAAAGAATTTCAGAATCAGAACGTTATCCTTGGGCATACAAATCATGTGTTTGCATGTGAAAATATCTGTCCATAAATACATGTGAATTCATTCAAATGCACAGTTATAACAGATTAACCTAAGAAATAAGTTGTAATAGTGAAATGAAATGAATATACGATAATTATGGCATAAATAATTACCAATATTTTTGGCCATCAATCAAACACTAATTCCTCATCTAGAATATTCGGTTCGCTGCTGCACTCCGTTTCCCACCGTCATAATTTGAACGTGCCATATCCGTTCATCTAACACGATCTAATTGGCTGTTTGGTTTGTCAATCAAAAGGTTGGCCTCCTATTGCATCAAACTTCCCATTCTTTTAGAAACAAGGTGGTGCTTGTTTCCAGGAAGTATCACAGCAACGTGACATTACATTGCTCCCTGTTGCTGCTAGCCTGTCCATTTCAAATTATATTTTCAATCAAGTGTAAACATTAGGACAGAAAATGGGTGATGATGAAAAGTATGACGGGATGTTGCTTGTTATGGCACAACAGCACGAAGGAGGTGTACAGGAGGTAAACTATAGCTTGATAGCATGCTAGCAAGTTAGTATGCTAACATAAGCTAGCACATTCCTCATTAAACCACTGGCTAGCCGGCTAAATTATGTTAGCTATATGGGGGATGGGAAAGTGTCCAGCGTTTGCACCATGCATATAGCAACACAAACCTGTAGCTAATGTTAGTCGCATATAATAAATATCACACCAGTAGCGTAATCGTTAACCATAGTTTAGCTAGCTAGCTAGCTAGTTGTGTTTATGCATGCTGGTGTGGTAACGTTAGTAAGCCATAGCAAATAGGCTTGTGACTTGTATAAGGCTCAGGTTGGCTATGTATTTTTTATTTATTTATTTATTTCACCTTTATTTAACCAGGTAAGCCAGTTGAGAACAAGTTCTCATTTACAACTGCGACCTGGCCAAGATAAAGCAAAGCAGTGCGATAAAAACAACAACAACACAGAGTTACATATGGAATAAACAAAAACGTACAATCAATAACACAATAGAAAATCTATATACAGTGTGTGCAAATGTAGTAAGTTATGGCGGTAAGGCAATAAATAGGCCATAGTGCAAAATAATTACAATTTAGTATTAATACTGGAGTGATTGATGTGCAAATAGAGATACTGGGGTGCAAATGACCAAAATAAATAACAATATGGGGATGAGGTAGTTGGGTGGGCTAATTACAGATGGGCTGTGTACAGGTACAGTGATCAGTAAGCTGCTCTGACAACCGATGCTTTAAGTTAATGAGGGAGATAAGTGTCTCCAGCTTCAGAGATTTTTGTAGTTCGTTCCAGTCATTTGCAGCAGAGAACTGGAAAGAATGGCGGCCAAAGGAGGTGTTGGCTTTGGGGATGACCAGTGAGATATACCTGCTGGAGCGTATCATACTGGTGGGTGTTGCTATGGTGACCAATGAGCTAAGATAAAGCAGGGATTTGCCTAGAAGTGATTTATAGATGACCTGGAGCCAGTGGGTTTGGAGACGAATATGTAGTGAGGGCCAGCCAACGAGAGCGTACAGGTCACAATGGTGGGTAGTATATGGGGCTTTGGTGACAAAACGGATGGCACTGTGATAGACTACATCCAATTTGCTGAGTTGAGTGTTGGAAGCTATTTTGTAAATGACATCGCCGAAGTAAAGGATCGGTAGGATAGTCAGTTTTACGAGGGCATGTTTAGCAGCATGAGTGAAGGAGGCTTTGTTGCGAAACAGGAAGCCGATTCTAGATTTAACTTTGGATTGGAGATGCTTAATGTGAGTCTGGGAGGAGAGTTTATGGTCTAACCAGACCCCTAGGTATTTGTAGTTGTCCACATATTCTAAGTCAGACCAGAAAGTAGTGATTCTAGTCGGGCGGGCGGGTGCAAGCAGCATTCGATTGAAGAGCATGCGTTTAGTTTTACTAGCGTTTAAGAGCAGTTGGAGGCCACGGAAGGAGTGTTGTATGGCATTGAAGCTCGTTTGGAGGTTTGTTAACACAATGTCCAATGAAGGGCCAGATGTATACAAAATGGTGTCGTCTGCGTAGAGGTGGATTTGAGAGTCACCAGCAGCAAGAGCTACATCATTGATATACACAGAGAATAGAGTCGGCCCGAGAATTGAACCCTGTGGCACCCCCATAGAGACTGCCAGAGGTCCAGACAACAGGCCCTCAGATTTAACACATTGAACTCTATCTGAAAAGTAGTTGGTGAACCAGGCGAGGCAGTCGGTTGAGAAACTAACTGTATCATCTCTAATGTAATATTTATTCGTCCAACAGTTAGTAAACACGTTTTTCAGCTTCCTCCGGCGTAAAACAGACTTCTTCACGGGTGGCGAGGCAGGTGCACCAAAGAAGGTAAGTCCAGAATTGGCTACCTAACAGAACAAAGATGCATACATCAAGAGATACTGAACTAATCTGTCTAATCTTATGAACTAGCACAATAACAAAGTCCAAATTGGCTATATTGTAAAAATGTATGAAAACAAAAATGTGTTTTAGGGTTGTGGTTATGGTCAGGTTTAAAATCAGATTTTAAGAAGAGAAATGGTAGAAATAAGAGGGGTTTATGACTTTGTGGCTGTGTTACCTAGTGACGACCCCTCTGTCCCCAGCTGGTGACGGAGTCGTTTGCCCACCACAGCGGTCTTGCCCTGAAGGCCCATAGAGAGAAGGAGAAGAGACAGGAGAAGGAGAAGAGAGAGAAAACAGAGAGGGCTGCCAAGCTAGCTGAGGAAGAGGAGAAAAAGAAGATTAAGAAAGCAGATGTCGAGCCCAAAATCAAAGAACTGACAGATGAAGAGGCAGAGAGACTTCAGTCCGAAATCGACAAGGTAAGAAAAACGGACCCTGCAGATAGCACTACTGGGTGATCTGAAAAGTCATAGTCAATCGATCAATAATATAATAATACTTTTAGCAAAAATGTTTATTTTCAATTCACAAACTGTACAAACAATGAGAATAGAAAGGTTCAGAACTTTTGTAAAACATCACAATACAGTTGAAAAAAAATATATGGCAAATAGAAATCCAATATGGATGGTGTTAGGAGATAGATGGGAGGTGTTGAATGGAGCTGAAGGATGGGACTAATAACAACGACTAATAACTAGTGTAAGACATGCTGTGTCCATAATAAGTATATAGGTTATATATTGTGAGCTTTTGTGAAAGAGCACAGTTAGAAAGATATATAGAAGCATACCAGATGGACATCATGAACATCATGAAAATGATCGGAGGAAGTTCAGGAGTAAAAACAAACAAAATATAATTATTAACTGGGTCCATAAAATGTATATAGTATGTATAAGCATGAAGTAGAGGCCTAAGCATTGTTGTTCACTAGTTTACTCCAATTAGGGAAGGGATGGTGGGGTTGGAAAGTAATAAAGGGAAATATATATATATATTTTTAAGGATATGTATGTATATATACAGTGAGGGGAAAAACGTTTTGTACGTTTACCCACTGAGAAAGAAATGATCAGTCTATAATTTTTATGGTAGGTTTATTTGAACAGTGAGAGACAGAATAACAACAAAAAAATCATTCAGATGTTCATTGGCAAACTTCAGACGGGCATGTATATGTACACTGCTCAAAAAAATAAAGGGAACACTTAAACAACACAATGTAACTCCAAGTCAATCACACTTCTGTGAAATCAAACTGTCCACTTAGAAAGCAACACTGATTGACAATAAATGTCACATGCTGTTGTGCAAATGGAATAGACAACAGGTGGAAATTATAGGCAATTAGCAAGACACCCCCAATAAAGGACTGGTTTTGCAGGTGGTGACCACAGACCACTTCTCAGTTCCTATGCTTCCTGGCTGATGTTTTGGTCACTTTTGAATGCCGGCGGTGCTTTCACTCTAGTGGTAGCATGAGACGGAGTCTACAACCCACACAAGTGGCTCAGGTAGTGCAGCTCATCCAGGATGGCACATCAATGCGAGCTGTGGCAAGAAGGTTTGCTGTGTCTGTCAGCGTAGTGTCCAGAGCATGGAGGCACTACCAGGAGACAGGCCAGTACATCAGGAGACGTGCAGGAGGCTGTAGGAGGGCAACAACCCAGCAGCAGGACTGCTACCTCCGCCTTTGTGCAAGGAGGAGCAGGAGGAGCACTGCCAGAGCCCTGCAAAATGACCTCCAGCAGGCCACAAATGTGCATGTGTCTGCTCAAACGGTCAGAAACAGACTCCATGAGGGTGGTATGAGGGCCCGACGTCCACAGGTGGGGGTTGTGCTTACAGCCCAACACCGTGCAGGACGTCTGGCATTTGCCAGAGAACACCAAGATTGGCAAATTCGCCACTGGCGCCCTGTGCTCTTCACAGATGAAAGCAGGTTCACACTGAGCACATGTGACAGACGTGACAGAGTCTGGAGACGCTGTGGAGAACGTTCTGCTGCCTGCAACATCCTCCAGCATGACCGGTTTGGCGGTGGGTCAGTCATGGTGTGGGGTGGCATTTCTTTGGGGGGCCGCACAGCCCTCCATGTGCTCGCCAGAGGTAGCCTGACTGCCATTAGGTACCGAGATGAGATCCTCAGACCCCTTGTGAGACCATATGCTGGTGCGGTTGGCCCTGGGTTCCTCCTAATGCAAGACAATGCTAGACCTCATGTGGCTGGAGTGTGTCAGCAGTTCCTGCAAGAGGAAGGCATTGATGCTATGGACTGGCCCGCCCGTTCCCCAGACCTGAATCCAATTGAGCACATCTGGGACATCATGTCTCGCTCCATCCACCAACGCCACGTTGCACCACAGACTGTCCAGGAGATGGCGGATGCTTTAGTCCAGGTCTGGGAGGAGATCCCTCAGGAGACCATCCGCCACCTCATCAGGAGCATGCCCAGGCATTGTAGGGAGGTCATACAGGCACGTGGAGGCCACACACACTACTGAGCCTCATTTTGACTTGTTTTAAGGACATTACATCAAAGTTGGATCAGCCTGTAGTGTGGTTTTCCACTTTAATTTTGAGGGTGACTCCAAATCCAGACCTCCATGGGTTGATAAATTTGATTTCCATTGATAATTTTTGTGTGATTTTGTTGTCAGCACATTCAACTATGTAAAGAAAAAAGTATTTAATAAGATTATTTCATTCATTCAGATCTAGGATGTGTTATTTTAGTGTTCCCTTTATTTTTTTCAGCAGTGTATATATGTACAGTGGGGAGAACAAGTATTTGATGCACTGCCGATTTTGCAGGTTTTCCTACTTACAAGGCATGTAGAGGTCTGTAATTTTTATCATAGGTACACTTCAACTGTGAGAGATGGAAACTAAAACAAAAATCCAGAAAATCACATTGTATGATTTTTAAGTAATTCATTTGCATTTTATTGCATGACATAAGTATTTGATCACCTACCAACCAGTAAGAATTCCGGCTCTCACAGACCTGTTAGTTTTTCTTTAAGAAGCCCTCCTGTTCTCCACTCATTACCTGTATTAACTGCACCTGTTTGAACTCGTTACCTGTATAAAAGACACATGTCCACACACTCAATCAAACATACTCCAACCTCTCCACAATGGCCAAGACCAGAGAGCTGTGTAAGGACATAAGGGATAAAATTGTAGACCTGCACAAGGCTGGGATGGGCTACAGGACAATAGGCAAGCAGCTTGGTGAGAAGGCAACAACTGTTGCCGCAATTATTAGAAAATGGAAGAAGTTCAAGATGACGGTCAATCACCCTCGGTCTGGGGCTCCATGCAAGATCTCACCTCGTGGGGCATCAGTGGCTCCGTAAGAAGCATCTCAAGGTCCTGGAGTGGCCTAGCCAGTCTCCAGACCTGTACCCAATAGACCATCTTTGGAGGGAGCTGAAAGTCCGTATTGCCCAAGCGACAGCCCCGAAACCTGAAGGATCTGGAGAAGGTCTGTATGGAGGAGTGGGCCAAAATCCCTGCTGCAGTGTGTGCAAACCTGGTCAAGACCTACAGGAAACGTATGATCTCTGTAATCGCAAACAAAGGTTTCTGTACCAAATATTAAGTTCTGCTTTTCTGATGTATCAAATACTTATGTCATGCAATAAAATGCAAATGAATTACTTAAAAATCATACAATGTGATTTTCTGGATTTTTGTTTTAGATTCCGTCTCTCACAGTTGAAGTGTAACTATGATAAAAATTACAGACCTCTACATGCTTTGTAAGTAGGAAAACTTACAAAGCATGGCAAAATCGGCAGTGTATCAAATACTTGTTCTCCCCACTGTACATCACTGATCATTGCAACTCCACAAGGTGAGATCTTGCATGGAGCCCCAGGCCGAGGGAGATTGACAGTTCTTTTGTGTTTCTTCCACTTTCTCACCAAGCTGCTTGGCGATGGTCTTGTAGCCCATTCCAGCCTTGTGTAGGTCTACAATCTTGTCCCTGACATCCTTAGAGAGCTCTTTGGTCTTGGCCATGGTGGAGAGTTTGGAATCTGATTGATTGATTGCTTCTGTGGACAGGTGTCTTTTATACAGGTAACAAACTGAGATTAGGAGCACTCCCTTTAAGAGTGTGCTCCTAATCTCAGCTCGTTACCTGTATAAAAGACACCTGGGAGCCAGAAATCTTTCTGATTGAGAGGGGGTCAAATACTTATTTCCCTCATTAAAATGCAAATCAATTTATAACATTTTTGACATGCGTTTTTCTGGATATTTGTTGTTGTTATTCTGTCTCTCACTGTTCAAATAAACCTTCCATTAAAATTATAGACTGATAATTTTTTTGTCAGTGGGCAAACGTACAAAATCAGCAGGGGATCAAATACTTTTTTCCCTCACTGTATATGCGAGAAAAGGAAAAAAAAACATGGGGGATTGGAAGTGATGCAGACAATTACATTGATGGAAGTTACAATCTATCTGCAATATAAAAAATAAAATTAAAATAAAAACGGATTGTCAGTTATGATTGATTGATGTGCTATACACACTAGATTTAACCGTTTGTCTTTGTTAGGGCTGACCCCATTTAGTCTACTGGTCAATTTCTTTAGTCGAGCAGTAGCTAAAAATATTATGGTGTACAAGACACCTGTCTTATTCGCACTGAGTGGACTGATCCATTGTGGAGGCCGTGGGGATGGCACAGTCCATCAGTGTAAGACATGTTATACTGAAATGGTATATGGTTATATTACATAAAAACAATGGTGCAACACTAATAGAAATAATATTATTTTATAACAAATGCGCTTTTTCCCTCATTGGATAGCGGTCGCTGTCCACGGTTCTGAAACACATCAGTGCGCTGTTGAATTAGTGCCTTTTCCTAGACCATGTTGCTATGTGCATAATAGCAAAGTTAACCAGAATATTGATGTTGAGAACAATGCCGTGGCGGCAGCAGCAGAATGAGGAGATGAGAAAACAGCCCTTGCCTTATTGTCTAAGAAAAGTGAGGAGAGAGGAAACCCCAACTTAATTAGGTCTATAATCAAAAGCCTAACTGTTAAATGTGCCTGGCTTTATAATTCATCAATGTATCTATAGAAATAGATCTTGCTACTGTTGCCTGTTTAAGTGTTTGTTTAATAGCCTTCTGATTCCGTGAGCACCAAGCCTCACGCAACGACATGTTAAGTAAACAATTTCACAAATTCGACTGTTTTTTATCTTTGCGTTGCTGTAATAAAGGCTTAACAATTTTTTTTGTTAGAACAGCCTCTCTTGTATTATTTTTAATTTATTTTGTGTTTACACTGTTCCAAATTGTCTGAAAAATTATATTTATAATAATAATAATAACGCTCCTTTTTCTTGATCTCCTTATTGTTATTATTACTATTATTATTATTATCATAATAATAAGCAATGTCATTATCATTAGTAAGCTTAGTATAGCAGCCTTGTATAACCACCATCGAACTGTAGGCCTAAGAGCACATCCTGTTTAGTCTTAATACCGTGACTTACTTAGGCCTATATTTCAATACTTCTATAGGCTACTGTATCAATCATTCATTCGTTCATGTCATCACACAGCATACGAGTCATTCATGATTTTAAATGCAATCAAGCATTTTAGGTTTAAAATACAATAAAGCGAGCCTTTAATAATTAGCTTATACAATAAATAAACCGTTCCATTTGGGAAATTGCATTCACGAATGAATCTGACTGTTTTTAGTCTTCACTGTAATGAAGGCTTAACAAAAAAAAAAACATTACAACAGACTCTCTGGTACGCTTATACCTTATTTAGTGTTGTTTACATTGTTCCAAACGTTCCGAAAAATTATAGTGTAATCAATACAGCACCTGTTTGGCACACATAATATGCACGCAGCGCTTGCTCCTTACCTTATTTTTCTTGGTCTCCGGGATTTTCCACAACTAGTCACATTTATTCCACACATCTGACTTTCCCTTTACCTCCTGAGCAACCAGTAAACCTTCCCACATTTCAAGTTTTTTTGTCACGTCCTCTGCATCCATTTTGCTGTCACGTGTTATGGTGTTCAGAGTTTATTATAACCAATGTATTGACGTGATTATGATATGCTATAGGTCAGGACCTATTGTACCCTATTCGGACAGGATTAGTTTTACTGGGGGAGGTCAGGTAATGTAATTATGTGCACGAGCACAAAACACCACATCTGTAATTTTAGTCCCGTCCGAATCAGCCATTTCAGTAATTTTTAAATGGCAGGAGAGTAACAATTCCACCAAGAATAACTGACTGTTTTTTGGCGAACTCCAAGGTCTTCTGATAATACTAGTCCCGTGCGAATCGACATCGCTGTGTTTTGAGAGAAATGTCTGAGTTTGACAAGTGTTGCTCGTGGATTGCGCAAGAAAACAAAACTGATTAAATCAATTGATCTAAGTGCTGCGCATAAGCTATATATGACTGGCCTACATGTAGCCTATCAGCTTTCACAGTGAATGCTTTTTTAAATATATTTTGTGCGTATGAATTGAATATTGCCAAATGCATCAGTTAAAAAATATTGAGCCTATTTAATGCAACCCTTGTTGTTAATAGTTCGCAAAGCAGCATACAACTGACCTAAACGTTTGGAAATGATAAATTAACTTTCTCATCCATAGCCTAAAAATGCATCTCAAGTGCATTTGCACTGTTTAGCTCACATCTGAAGGCTGGGGGGCATTTGGACATCCTGCGGATCGCTAAAATATCCTAATGATTATGATCACACTTCCTGAATTCAAATATTATGGCGACATTATAGGAAAGATGGATTGGTATGGTTTAGAAACTTGGCAATCAAGCTGGAGTTATCAGTGTGACCCTATCACCTGGGCATGTTGAAATACTGTATCTTCACGCCTAGAATAAAAACCTCCAGGCTTTCGTTATTACTGTCAATTTATTGGGGGAAAACTAATCCCGTCCGAATCGTCCTCTGGAATAACGGACATTCTGGAGTAAAAACTACATAACCACCATTCAAATATAATCAAATGTATTGGTCACATACACATGGTTAGCAGATGTTATTGTGAGTGTAGCGAAATGCTTGTGCTTCTAGTTCCAACAGTGCAGGAATATCTAGTAAGTAATATCTAACAGTTCTACAACAAAAACCTAATACACACAAATCTAAGTCAAGGAATGGAATAAGAATATATAAATATATGGCATTATCAGAGAGGCATAGTCTAAGATGCAATAGATAGTATAGAATACAATATATACATATGAGATGGGTAATGCAAGAAACAGTGCCTTGCAAAAGTATTCATCCCCCTTGGCGTTTTTCCTATTTTGTTGCATTACAACCTGTCATTTAAATGGATTTTATTTGGATTTCATGTAATGGACATACACAAAATAGTCCAAATTGGTGAAGTGAAATGAAAAAAATTACTTGTTTCAAAAAATTCCAAATAATAAATAACGGAAAAGTGGTGTGTATTCACCCCCTTTGCTATGAAGCCCCTAAATAAGATCTGGTGCAACCAATTACCTTCAGAAGTCACATAATTAGTTAAATAAAGTCCACCTGTGTGCAATCTAAGTGTCATATGATCTCAGTATACAGTGGGGAGAACAAGTATTTGATACACTGCCGATTTTGCAGGTTTTCCTACTTACAAAGCATGTAGAGGTCTGTAATTTTTATCATAGGTACACTTCAACTGTGAGAGACGGAATCTAAATAAAAAAAATCCAGAAAATCACATTGTATGATTTTTAAGTAATTAATTTGCATTTTATTGCATGACATAAGTATTTGATACATCAGAAAAGCAGAACTTAATATTTGGTACAGAAACCTTTGTTTGTAATTACAGAGATCATACGTTTCCTGTAGGTCTTGACCAGGTTTGCACACACTGCAGCAGGGATTTTGGCCCACTCCTCCATACAGACCTTCTCCAGATCTTTCAGGTTTCAGGGCTGTTGCTGGGCAATACGGACTTTCAGCTCCCTCCAAAGATTTTCTATTGGGTTCAGGTCTGGAGACTGGCTAGGCCACTCCAGGACATTGAGATGCTTTTTACAGAGCCACTCCTTAGTTTCCCCGGCTGTGTGTTTCGGGTCGTTGTCATGCTGGAAGACCCAGCCACGACCCATCTTCAATGCTCTTACTGAGTGAAGGAGGTTGTTGGCCAAGATCTCGCGATACATGGCCCCATCCATCCTCCCCTCAAAACGGTGCAGTCGTCCTGTCCCCTTTGCAGAAAAGCATCCCCAAAGAATGATGTTTCTACCTCCATTCTTCACGGTTGGGATGGTGTTCTTGGGGTTGTACTCATCCTTCTTCCTCCAAACACGGCGAGTGGAGTTTAGACCAAAAAGCTCTATTTTTGTCGCATCAGACCACATGACCTTCTCCCATTCCTCCTCTGGATCATCCAGATGGTCATTGGCAAACTTCAGACGGGCCTGGACATGCGCTGGCTTGAGCAGGGGGACCTTGCGTGCGCTGCAGGATTTTAATCCATGACGGCGTAGTGTGTTACTAATGGTTTTCTTTGAGACTGTGGTCCCAGCTCTCTTCAGGTCATTGACCAGGTCCTGCCGTGTAGTTCTGGGCTGATCCCTCACCTTCCTCATGATCATTGATGCCCCACGAGGTGAGATCTTGCATGGAGCCCCAGACCGAGGGTGATTGACCGTCATCTTGAACTTCTTCCATTTTCTAATAATTGCGCCAACAGTTGTTGCCTTCTCACCAAGCTGCTTGCCTATTGTCCTGTAGCCCATCCCAGCCTTGTGCAGGTCTACAATTTTATCCCTGATGTCCTTACACAGCTCTCTGGTCTTGGCCATTGTGGAGAGGTTGGAGTCTGTTTGATTGAGTGTGTGGACATGTGTCTTTTATACAGGTAACGAGTTCAAACAGGTGCAGTTAATACAGGTAATGAGTGGAGAACAGGAGGGCTTCTTAAAGAAAAACTAACAGGTCTGTGAGAGCCGGAATTCTTACTGGTTGGTAGGTGATCAAATACTTATGTCATGCAAATTAATTACTTAAAAATCATACAATGTGATTTTCTGGATTTTTGTTTTAGATTCCGTCTCTCAAATACTTGTTCTCCCCACTGTATATACACCTGTTCTGAAAGGCCCCATAGTCTGCAAGACCACTAAGCAAGGGGCACCACCAAGCAAGCGGCACCATGAAGGCCAAGGAGCTCTCCAAACAGGTCAGGGACAAAGTTGTGGAGAAGTACAGATCAGAGTTGGGTTCTAAAAAAATATCTGAATCTTTGAACATACCACGGACCACCATTAAATCCTTTATTAAAAAATGGAAAGAAAATGGCACCACAACAAACCTGCCAAGAGAGGGCAGCCCACCAAAACTCACGGACCTGGCAAGGAGGGCATTAATCAGAGAGGCAACAAAGAGACCAAAGATAACCCTGAAGGAGCTGTAAAGCTCCACAGCGGAGATTGGAGTATCTGTCCATAGGACCACTTTAAGCCATACTCTCCACAGAGCTGGGCTTTACGGAAGAGTGGCCAGCTCTTTGGTGTTCGCCAAAAGGCATGTGGGAGACTCCCCAAACATATGGAAGAAGGTACTCTGGTCAGATGAGACTAAAATTTAGCTTTTTGTCCATCAAAGAAAACGCTATGTCTGGCGCAAACCCAACACCCCGAGAACACCATCCCCACAGTAGAGCATGGTGGTGGCAGCATCATGCTGTGGGGATGTTTTTCATCGGCAGGGACTGGGAAACTGGTCAGAATTGAAGGAATGATGGATGGCGTTAAATACAGGGAAATTCTTGAGGGAAACCTGTTTCAGTCTTCCAGAGATTTGAGACTGGGACGGAGGTTCACCTTCCAGCAGGACAATGACCCTAAGCATACTGCTAAAGCAACACTTGAGTGGTTTAAGGGGAAACATTTAAATGTCTTGGAATGGCCTAGTCAAAGCCCAGACCTCAATCCAATTGAGAATCTGTGGTATGATTTAAAGATTGCTGTACACCAGCGGAACCCATCCAGCTTGAAGGAGCTGGAGCAATTTTGCCTTGAAGAATGGGAAAAAATCCCAGTGGCTAGATGTGCCAAGCTTATAGAGACATACCCCAAGAGACTTGCAGCTGTAATTGCTGCAAAAGGTGGCTCTACAAAGTATTGACTTTGGGGGGGTGAATAGTTATGCACGCTCAAGTTTTCTGTATAGTTTTCAAGTTTCACAAGAAAAAATATTTTGCATCTTCAAAGTGGTTGGCATGTTGTGTAAATCAAATTATACAAAACCCCAAAAAATCTATTTAAATTCCAGGTTGTAAGGCAACAAAATAGGAAAAATGCCAAGGGTGTGAATAATTTCGCAAGCCACTGTATGTAAACATTAAAGTGGCATTATTAAAGTGACTAGTGTTTCATTTATTAAAGTGGCCAGTGATTTTCCAGCTTTCTGTGCTGGTGATGGCTGTTTAACATTCTGATGGCCTTGAGATAGAAGCTGTTTTTCAGTCTCTCGGTCCAAGCTTTGATGCACCTGTACTTTCCTCGCCTTCTGGATGATAGCGGGGTGAACAGGCAGTGGCTCGGGTGGTAGTTGTCCTTGATTATCTTTTTGGCCCTCACCTCCTCCCTGTAGGCTGTCTCATCATTGTTGGTAATCAAGCCTACTACTGTTGTGTCGTCTGCAAACTTGATGATTGATTTTGAGGCGTGCATGGCTACGCAGTCATGGGTGAACAGGGAGTACAGGAGGGGGCTGAGCACACACCCTTGTGGGGCCCCAGTGTTGAGGATCAGCGAAGTGGAGATGTTGTTTCCTACCTTCACCACCTGGGGGTGGCCCGTCAGGAAGTCCAGGACCCAATTGCACAGGGCGGGGTTGAGACCCAGGGCCTCAAGCTTGATGATGAGCTTGGAGGGTATTCTGGTGTTGAATGCTGAGCTATAGTCAATGAACAGCATTCTTACATAGGTATTCCTTTGTCCAGATTGGATAGGGCAGTGTGATGGCGATTACATAGTCTGTGGACCTATTGGGGCGGTATGCAAATTAAGGTGGGTCTAGGGTGACCGGTAAGGTGGAGGTGAATGATCCTTGACTAGTCTCTCAAAGCACTTCATGATGACAGAGGTGAGTGCTACAGGGCGATAGTCATTTAGTTCAGTTACCTTTGCATTCTTGTGTACAGGAACAATGGTGGCCATCTTGAAGCAAGTGGGGACAGCAGACTGGGATAGGGAGAGATTGAATATGTCCGTAAACACACCAGCCAGCTGGTCTGCGCATGCTCTAAGGACGCGGCTAAGAATACCGTCTGGGCCGGCAGCCTTGCGAGGGTTAACACGTTTAAATGTCTTACTCACGTCGGCCACAGAGAAGGAGAGCCCACAGTTCTTCATAGCTGGCCGCGTCGGTGACACTGTGTTATCCTCAAAGCGGGCAAAGAACTTGTATAGCTTGTCTGGCAGCAAGACGTCAGTGTCCTCGACGTGGCTGGTTTTCCTATTGTAGTCCGTGATTGTCTGTAAACCCTGCCACATACGTCTCGTGTCTGAGCCGTTGAATTGCGACTCCACTTTGTCTTGATATTTACGTTTTGCCTGTTTAATTGCCTTGCGGAGGGAACGACCACTCTGTTTGTATTCTGCCATATTCCCAGGCACCTTGCCATGGTTAAATGCGGTGGTTCGTGCTTTCAGGTTTTCTCTAGTAATACTAGTCCTGTGCTAATAGGTCTTTGGTCACATGCATGCGATGCATACACGTGTCACGTAAAGAGATCAAGGGTTGAAGGAATAGGGAATGTTTTTCCTAAACAAATGAGTGATTTTGGTAACATAACTTTTCAGTCAGAAATGGCAGTAATTATGTTGCTGCTTCAGCAACACGGACATTACGATAAACACTTTGATGTTTTGTGGTGGTCATGGCAGCAGGGAGGAGAGAGAGACAACGGGTGCTAGTCACAGTCACTTGCTGTCTTTTTTTTTTACACAGCGCAGTAAGTCTGAGCCCGTCCCGGCACAGTCAAATAATTTGCTGGTCGGACTCTCTAGGCATTTGTGTCTTAATTATTTAATCAAACAGTGTGCTTAAAGCATCAGACAAGCTCAGTGAATATAGTTGATTTGATTAAAAGACATAGGATGTGTCAATATATGGAAAAATACACGTCAACCAAGATTTTTAAAGTCGGGGACAGCCCTAGTCTTTGTCTTGATGAAGCGTATGTGCACTACTATAAGGTATTTGTCTCGATTAAGCATATGTGCACTACTTTAATGTCTTTGTCTTGATGAAGCGTATGTGCACTACTTTAATGTCTTTGTCTTGATGAAGCGTATGTGCACTACTTTAATGTCTTTGTCTTGATGAAGCGTATGTGCACTACTTTACAGTTTTTTACAATCACTTTGGCACTAATTTCAGAACCTTGACGTCATTTTTCAAAACTCTAGACACAAAACTCACAACCAATGATCAAAATGCACATTTTTCAAAACTCTAACACTTTTTTCAATTGCTTGGATACAATACACATAAAACTAAGATCATTTGTTCATTTAACAAAAATCACCTGTTCAATATGACACAACTTAACATCAAAGTACTACTATTTCAAAAGGCAATTCACACATTACATTTCAGATGAGTGTCTATTCATTTCATTACAATTATCCAACTATCAATTGATACAACTGCTCAAAATGATAAGTAACTGTTGCATTGCTCTTAATGCATAGTTGTATGGAAACAGACAAACAATATTCCATGTTTAGATCATGAAAGTTTCAAAGTAACGAGATTCATTGTCACCAATTAGCGTGGAGCATGAACCAATTAGACTACATTATCTATGGATGTAATATTTCATCATCATTCTTTATCAGACACCGTTTCTATGGGCCCCTTGTAACCTTCCTTGATGAGCTCGATCAGGTCAGTAGAGCTGATGGCGTGACCTATGTCATTGTGTGGGATAATGTCAGGTTCCACCATGCTCATATGGTGCAAGCATGGTTTCAGGCCCATGCACAATTTACCACCCTGGATTTACCCCCATACTCTCATTTCCTTAACCCGATTGAGGAATTTTTCTCCACATGGAGATGGAAGGTTTATGATAGGCACCCTCATGAACAAGTCACTCTTCTCCAGGCCATGGATGACGCATGCAATGACATCACGGCAGACCAGTGTCAGGCCTGGATTCGCCATGCCCAAAGGTTTTTTCCAAGATGTTTGGCTAATGAAAACATCCATTGTGATGTAGATGAGAACCTGTGGCGAAATCCACAAGACAGAGGATGAAAATGTAGAAGTACAGTAATCACTCCTATGTTTTGCTTTTTTCAATACAAGCAAGCAAGTTGAGGAACACTGCATTTGATGTTTTACAGTACTGTATTGTTTTTCATCAATATATTTCAGATTTTGTTCAATGATTTCACTCTGTCTGTAGTATTCTCTCTACTACTGCAGTACTTTTACAGGGATATATTTACATGTAGTACCATAATGAAACATGTATCACCTATTTTGTACTACAATATTTAATGATTGTACAAACAATGACACAATGAAACTATCGGTTGCTTGTGTGTGGGTGATCTAAATTAACGTTTCATTGGTATTTCACAATAAATGTGTTTTTTGAACCAATGATTGTGCAAGTGCAAGATTTCTTTAAAGATATGAATGCACAATGCAATGTTTTGAACATTGGACAGCCTGTGTTACAAGTAATGACCGTTTTGAGTTTTGTGTCTAGAGTTTTGAAAAATGACGTCAAGGTTCTGAAATTAGTGCCAAAGTGATTGTAAAAAACTGTAATGTCTTTGTCTTGATGAAGCATATGTGCACTACTTTAATGTCTTTGTCTTGTCTTGGTTTCAGCAAAATAAACAAGAGGAGAAGAAAGAGGCCACAAACACAAATGCTGTAACTCCACCTGAGAAAGCTGAGAAGGAAAGGGAAGAGAAGGGAGACAAGGGGGTAAGAGATTCTGCTGGGATGCCTCAGTAGAGGTACACCACTGTTTCCCCCGCTATCATATAGGCGTGGCGTCTCACCTGGGAAATAAACTATGGGGAAAAAACGTATGCACATAGTTTACAGCGCAGGGGTGTTTTATGCATGTTGAAGGCAATTGAAGCTAATGAATAACTTGTTCATTTCTGCCAGACTGATTCAGATGGAGAAGATGATGAGAAAGACAAGGACAAGATAAAACCTAACGCTGGCAACGGAGCTGACCTGGCCAATTATCGCTGGACACAGTCCTTGTCTGAAGTGGACGTGAGTTTCCCTTTTGCCTTTAGTGTTAGTGTTCCCTAGTATATGGATATTAAAGTTGTTTAACTGTAGCATGGTTGTTGCTTTAACTATGAAGAGGTATTTTGTGCTCTCTGTTCATTTTGTATGGGCAGCTCCCTCTATTTCACAGCAAATGTTGATCAACTTTTTGCCCCCAGTCACTAGGGATTGGTTTAGTATTGGGCAACATGTAATCTGGGCAGACAAGGTAATCAGGCATTCTGTGTGTTCCCCTTTATCCCACCCCCCAGCTGGTGGTGCCTTCGTTCTAATTGGGTGTTCCCCTTTATCCCGCCCCCCAGCTGGTCGTGCCTTCATTCTAATTGGGTGTTCCCCTTTATCCCGCCCCCCAGCTGGTGGTGCCTTCATTCTAATTGGGTGTTCCCCTTTATCCCGCCCCCCAGCTGGTGGTGCCTTCATTCTAATTGGGTGTTCCCCTTTATCCCGCCCCCCAGCTGGTCGTGCCTTCATTCTAATTGGGTGTTCCCCTTTATCCCGCCCCCCAGCTGGTGGTGCCTTCATTCTAATTGGGTGTTTCCCTTTATCCCGCCCCCCAGCTGGACGTGCCTTCATTCTAATTGGGTGTTCCCCTTTATCCCGCCCCCCAGCTGGTGGTGCCTTTTGATGTGAAGTTCCGTATGAAGGGGAAGGATGTAGTGGTGGACATCCAGCGTCGTGTGCTGAAGGTGGGTCTGAAGGGCCATCCTCCTGTGATTGAGGGACAGCTCTACAACGACGTCAAGGTAGAGGAGAGCTCCTGGCTCATTGAGGACGGCAAGGTGGTCACCATTCACCTGGAGAAGGTACTGCTTTTATTTATATTTTATTACAAGTGCTTTCATTGAGATTAAAAGTATTTCACGCTGAAACCTTTTAAGTCACTAAATCATGCCTTGCGTCTGTTTCAGATCAACAAGATGGAGTGGTGGAATAAGATAGTGACCACGGATCCAGAACTCAATACAAAGAAGATCTGTCCTGAGAACTCTAAGGTAACCAACGCCAATCTACTGATGCAAGGCTCACTGTATATTGCAAGAGAACGTGTAATTATTCTCCTTTATTTAAAGGTGAATAATTTATCTCTCTCTCTCTCTCACCCTCCATCTCTTTCTCTCTCTCTCCTCTTCATCTCTCTATATCCCTCCCTCCCTCTCTCACCCTCCATCTCTATCTCTCTCTCTCTCACCCTCCATCTCTTTCTCTCTCTCTCCTCTTCATCTCTCTATATCCCTCCCTCCCTCTCTCACCCTCTATCTCTTTATCTCTCTATATCCCTCCCTCTCTCACCCTCCATCTCTCTCATCAATCTCTCTCTCCATCTATCTCCCTCACTCTCACCCTCCATCTCGCTCTCTCCATCTCTCTCTCCTCTTCCGTCTCTCTATATCTCTCCCTCTCTAACCCTCCATCTCTCTCCATCGCTCTTTCTCCATCTCTCTCTCAACCTATCTCCCTCCCTCCCCCTCCCTCTCACCCTCCATCTCTCTCCCTCTCCCTCTCATCCTCCATCTCCCTCTCCATCTCTCTCTCACTGCTGTCTCAGCTGTCCGATCTGGATGGGGAGACCCGTGGTATGGTGGAGAAGATGATGTACGACCAGAGACAGAAGTCTATGGGTCTACCCACCTCCGAAGAGCAGAAGAAACAAGACATCCTCAAAAAGTAGCTTTCAGTACATTGGTTATAGCACCATCATATAGCATGTCCATCATGATAACGTTTAAGTAGTGCAATACTTTTCTTCACATAGACAGTGAAAAGTTTGACCCCTCCCAGTCATCCCTGGGACTTAACTACTGACAATCTACTGACAGATTTTAACATTAGAATAGAGTACTTCATATTATACACCTACTGAAAATGATCTATATGCTGTTAACTTTCTATAGGTTTACTTGGTGCTTTTCTTTTTATTGTCTAACATGTTCCTGTATACTGGATAGTTTAACATAGCCATAGAAATGAGGTAAAAGGAAAGAGTGAATGTAAAAGCAGGCTGCCTCCTACTGTTTCCTGTCAAGGTCAGGTCACACGATCATTGCGGCCATAAACGGATAGTGAGACGTCTGTACCAGCTTCCCAACGGAGTCCGGGACTAGAGCTGACCTCGCTTCTTCCTCCTCCACCATCATAATACACTGTAACCATGTCACCCACTGCACACATTTTCAGCAGGTGGATTATGCAGTGTGTTGTTATGAGTAGTGCATAAGTTATCCCTATTCAAAGTCAGGAACGCACACTGACCTCGGCCATCATTGTACAGGCAGTCTCAGTGTGTTTGTGGGAAACGCATGTCTCCCACTGTTGAACTTTTTGTTATATGAGCAGGTGGATTGCATAGTTTATGTGCCCTGTTTTTTTATTGACGAATGAAGTTATATGCAGTTTACATACTGCATAAGTCTTGTGAATATGCTCTGTATTCGACAGATTACATGACCAGACAGTGACAATGTCCTTATTTCCTAGTGACGTGACTTGGGCATTGTGAGGTGCATTAGGGATGGTTGGCAAATACTGCATTAATTATCTCTGTATGACTCACTACACTAGTATAGGTGGAAGGACCATTACACAGAGATAAGGGGTGTGCAAGGGATAGAGGGAAGGAGCCGTAACCATCGGATATGGATGTACAGGACCTTCTCTTATCACTGGAGGTTATTAACCTCTTCTAGTTCCTGTCACGAGCAAGGCCAGGTTACCCTTGTTCACCTGTGGCTTACTAGAAACACTGTTTGAGGGGAGGCGTCGGTGATGGATGTAGAGGGCAGTCTCTTATCAGAGTTCAGGTTATTAAGCCCTTCTACTCCCTGTCCTGGTCATGACGAGGCGAGGCCAATGATAGGTTAGCTGGTTATATGTGTGATGTCATTCTGCCTCACACTTCCTCTCTTGTTTATGAAAGTGTCTCGTTCAAAATATCAAGTACACTTACTATGGTTAGACGTATGTTCATTACTGTGTGACACAATATAATAATTCCAAATCCTTTATAAATGGATGTTAGTCTGATGTGGTTACTTTGTAGGTGCTCTTTTGACCATATCGGTATCGGACCATAATAACCAAAAAATATATCTGCATCGGCCCGTTGTGGTGAGAAAACAAAGAGAGAGGTCAGTATTGCTAAGAAAATATTGACCTATCGGTATCACCCAAAATTTCCACATCTGTACATTAACGTTTTAGTCATTTAGCAGACGCTCTTATCCAGAGCGACTTACAGTTAGTGAGTGCATACATTATATATATATATTTATTTATTTTCATACCCCCCGTGGGAATCGAACCCACAACCCTGGTGTTGCAAACGCCATGCTCTACCAACTGAGCTACATCCCTGCCGGCCATTCCCTCCCCTACCCTGGACGACGCTGGGCCAATTATGCGCCGCCCCATGAGTCTCCCGGTCGTGGCCGGCTACGACAGAGCCTGGATTCGAACCAGGATCTCTAGTGGCACAGCTATCACTGCAATGCAGTGCCTTAGACCACTGCGCCACTCGGGAGTAACCGGCATCACTGCGCTGCTACCAGCTTGGCTTCCTCCACTGTCCCTGTCCCTTTACTGGACTCAAAGCTGGGATGAGTTTATCTGGTGTAATCTGACTCTATTAAACATGGCTAGTCTTGCAAACTCCTATGGTCGTTGTCAAACCCTTGTAGCCTGGAACCAGGCTACTCTTTCACTGTTCAGACTCTATGATGTGACCCCCCCTCTGTCATTGTGTTCCAGGTTTATGTCGCAGCACCCAGAGATGGACTTCTCTAAAGCCAAATTCAGCTAAGAGACGTCGCTGTCGTTCCCCAGCCAACCCTCCATACCCCTCTTCGCTCTTACTCTGCCCAGGAAAACGATGACTATGAATCCTTATCAAAACCAACCTCCAGCGCCGATCTTACAGTTGAATTGAATCTTTCTCTTTATCTGTCTTCATTACCCTTTCTCTCGCTTTCTGTCTCTCCCCTTTTCTGTAGTCCTGAGGTTCTGGGTTCTTGTTAGTCTCTTTCCTGTGACTGTGACAGAAACTTGACGACTGTAATAACTCCCATCTTTGTTCTGTTGCATGTGTTACTATGTTCTGAATGTTTAAAGAAATGTTTGGAGCCTTTTCCTTTTTTTAAAATAAATAAATTCAAACCACATTCATTGAAATATGGCGTCATTGGTACTTTACTGTAAGAGAAAAATAACTGAAATACGATGTGAGATTAGCTACCATGCAGATTAGGCATTTCATTCATTGTGAAATCTAACAAGAGCTTTCAGAGACGTTGTGACAGGCGGCAAATGTCACATTTTTTATTTGTTCTCATATTGTTTTTATTACCCATGAATTTAAAGTGTACTATCGTAAAACGTAGTTGAAGGCCAGTTCAACAGGTAGTCGTATTGATTTTGGAGGACATCCAAGCCTCAGGCCCAAGGGCTCCCGACTGACTGACATATTCAATGTGTTTGAAATGAAACTTGTAGGTGTTGAGTGACCATGTGTTGCTATTGTGCAATGTGTGATGCCCTTGAGACTAGAGGTTTGTATGGATCCCCTATGAATCGCTTTAAATATGATCTGATATAGAATCAGGTATATAGAGTAGGGAGCATGTGTCCGGTGGGGCTGGAGAGCAAGCATACAACTTCAGTGTGTACAGAGTGGATGACATCAATATTTGTAGTTTATAGGTTGGGAATGGTTGAGTCAATATTACCAGGTTACTAGGTGAGGTCATCATGGTATTTTAGATTAAGAACCCGACATCACTGAAGAGATTATTAATATAAATGTCACGGGTGTACTAAATAAACAAATATGATTAAAAGTCCTACTAAATTATTTTAGATATATTTAGGTATAATTCTTTATGGAATATTGTCTCCTGGTGTTTATACAATCTCACCACAATGAGCGTTATTTTACTTCGAAAAGCAGCAGTCTTTTTTTTGTACAGTTTTCTACCATCCAGTTGATCAGGTAAATTAAAAGATAAGACTGTTAATTGTCCATAGGTAATGGAAATCTTTTTTTTTTTTAACTACAGTTTTTGCAGAATGTTCTATTCATTATAAACAAGAAAATGTTGATCTATATACTGAACAATAATATAAACTATTTCAACCATTTTACTGAGTTACAGTTCATATAAGGAAATCAGTCAATTGAAATAAATAAATTAGGCCCTAATCTATGGATTTCACATGACTGGGCAGGGGCGCAGCCATGGGGTGGGCCTGGGAGGGCATAGGCCCACCCACTTGGAAGCCAGGCTCCCCCACTGGGGAGCCAAGCCCAGCTTATCACAATACGTTTTTCCCCACAAAAGGGCTTTATTACAGACAGAAATACTCCTCAGTTTCATCAGCTGTCTGGGTGGCTGGTCTCAGACGATCCCGCAGGTGAAGAAGCCAGATGTGGAGGTCCTGGGCTGGTGTGGTTACACGTGGTCTGTGGTTGTGAGGCCAGTTGGATATACTGCCAAATTCTCTAAAACGACTGAGAAATTAAGATTCAAATCTCTGGCAACAGCTCTGGTGGACATTCCTGCAGTCAGCATTCCAATTGCATGCTCCCTCAAAACTTGAGACATCTGTGACATTGTTGACAAAACTGCACATTTTAGAGTGGCCTTTTAGTGTCCCCAGCACAAGGTGCACCTGTGTAATGATCATGGTGTTTAATCAGCTTCTTGATATGCCACACCTGTGGATGGATTATCTTGGCAACAACTCTGGTGGACATTTCTGCAGTCAGCATGCCAATTGCACGCTCCCTCAAAACTTGAGACATCTGTGGCATTGTTGACAAAACTGCACATTTTAGAGTGGCCTTTAATTTTCCCCAGCACAAGGTGCACCTGTGTAATGATCATGCTGTTTAATTAGCTTCTTGATATGCCACACCTGTGGATGGATTATCTTGGCAAAGGAGAAATGCTCACTAATAGCAGTGTAAACAAAATGTTGCACAAAATTTGAGAGAAATAAGCTTTTTATGCGTATGGAACATTTCTGGGATATTTGATTTTAGCTCATGAAACATGGGACCAACACTTTACATGTTGTGTTTATATTTGTATCAGTATATATTTTTTATCAAATTCGTTCTTTAGAATATGTAGTTAGTATGTCAGACCCAAAAAAAATGATGGCATTGTAAAGGAATATAGTATCATTAAGAGGAGCCGGTAACCTATAAAGGGTCACCTGGGATGAGGTCATCTCCAAATCAAATAGAGTCACAGTGTACTAAGGAGGCATGCTGGGGCGGTGGCAAAGCGTCTCAGAGTAGGATTGCAGATCTAGGATCTGTTATGCCTTTTAAATCATATTGATTAGATCAGCACTCCTACTCTGAGACACGTTGTGAATATGTGCTCTGGACCTTCAACCAGCCTCCAGCCTCTCTGGCTCCCCATGCAACAATAGGTCAGACGATGATTCCAGCCTGGCTGTATTGTCAGGGTCTGCATGGGGCCGTGGGTAAAACAGCCCAACTCACTGAGGGGGTCCGCTGCCGGGTGCTCTCCCCTTCTCAGACTGGAGGAACAACAACCAGCCTTCCAGCCAAGACCCTCGAGAAACAGGAACCATAGAACCATGGGTCCTTATAGAGAGGTGTTATAGCTGGAATTATAACCACCCTGGATGATATAATGACAGACTGTTTCACCTCATGTTGACAAGTGACATTCAATAGTGAGGGGGAACAATCAAACCACCTACTCCTGTGAATGGAGTGGCAGGGCAGGACAGGGCTACTGTTGGACTGAAAACAGAATCTGGTGCATTCAACCATGCAAACACTCCTAAACACATGTAATGCTGTGATCCAGATGTGTCATGCATTATATCTGTGGGTAATACTAAGGTCGTTCACAGGTTTACAGGACTGAGGGCTACCATAGGAGACTCAGGGGTATTTGCCCACCCAGTAGGTTATATGGGGATCCTGGGGTATCCTACCAGGTGTGAGTGAGAGAAGACATGTTTGATCGGTGTTTGCATGTGTCCCAGGATGTGTCCATGCGCTAGGGTTGATGGGATTAACTGGAGAGGTTACACATCGTTCTCTCTGCATAGATTAATTCTGCTCTCGCTGCATTTCTCCCCTTCTCACTTCAGAGGTTCAAAGTGTGGGATGAGGGGCAGGGGAAGGGGAAGGGGAGGATGGGGTGGAGTATGGGGTGGGCTGTGTGTGTGTGTGGGGGGGTCTCTTTCCTTCATTTGCGTTGCCACAGCTGGGATTCACTATACAGTCAACTTTGCTGGTTTTGAACACCATCCATGCCTTATAATGTGGATGACCATTATATCTATATTTTCTTGAAAGTATCATTCCCGCTCTCCACAATTGTCTCGGTAACTCAGCTGGTAGCTTTCTCTCCGTCCAGGTCAGAAGACAGAATGGTCAGAGGACAGAGGGGTCAGTCAAAGTGACCCTTCAGTCAGTCAGGATTTGAACATTTTCTCTATGTACAGCTCCTCAGAAGACACCAAAGACATCAAGTTTCACCTTATGAACTCTAACCACTCTTTCATCAATAGACAGACCTGACTTTCTCAGGTCAATGTGCTCTACAAATTAGTCCTACTTCTAGTCACACTTTTATTCTAATTTGGCAATGTTACTTATTTGTAATCCTTACTAACTGGTCTCCATGATTTTGAAATGCTTTCAAACTTGCTTTCAAAACATACATGGCCATTACATAACCAACCCTTAGATATCCAAACCATAAATGGGTACGTTGGAGGAGAGAAGGAATGAGTGAGAAAAGAGAGAGAGAGGTGCACTCCACCAAGATGAAGGGAGACAAGAAGAAAAGGGTAAATTACTGTTCCTTTCTTATGGAAATGGTAATGAAGTGGTGAGGGGCCCTGGAACAATAGGGGCCACAGGCAGCTTGAGCGTCACCGTGTAAACTGCTTCCTGTTAGGGACCATTTAAGCCCTTTAACTTTTACTGACTAACACGCCAACTACAAAGAGAGGGCCTCCCCATCAAAGACACACAGGAGCTGGTAGGGGCCTCAGAGGTCTGTTCAGTCCAGAAAGACAGACCTTTCCCAGGCCTGACCTGACTGACTCACTGACATCTATCAATAAATCTTTCTGAATCTAAATCAAATGATGCGGCAGTGCACCTTTTATGGGGATTCTGATCTTCTTCTCTTTTTTTACAGCTTGTTTTTGAGAGCCTGCCTGAGTTGACACACAAATTCTTAAGGATGATTCTGCTATGAAGTATCTACCCACTTGTGTATATTTATCATTGCTATATAAAGCTGTTGTAATACCCAGCACATCTGGGTCATAGTGACACGACATCCACTTGATTGTGTTTTTCCATTTGTTTATCTTATTATAAGAGGCCGATACAGTTTCACTGCTCACTCACAAGTGTGGGTGAATACATGAACAGGCTGAAATCCACTGTTGCCTAGTACCAGTTCGATATTGCATTTCCTGTCCAAAATGACTGGATAGAGTGAATGATTGTTCTGGACAATCTATTTAGCTCAGTACTGCTGTGTGTCTTTATTTGTGTGTATACAATACAACATGTAAAGTCCTGGGTGCTAATAACGTAGAGTTGTATGGCCGTTGTATACAAGCAAACCACCTATAATCTCAGCTAAACTTAAAGATCAGAACAAGGGCCAGTCAGTAACCGGCCAATAGGGGCAGTGTTGCGATCCTGATAGATTCCCTGACTCAAAGTGACTGTCTTGCCGCTGGATTGACCAGACAGTAGGGGGAGCTCTAGCGGGTGTAGCCTAAGGAAGGGGATTGATATAGAGAAGGCTCATGTTGTGGTACAAACCTGTATTAGGTGGTGGGACGGGGGTCTATCTATTATCCTTTAATGAGACCCTTTGATCTGGGGCTGTGTTTAGTGTTTGTACACCTGGGCTGCAGCACTAGCCTTGGATTGGTTGTCTACTCCTGCTGCTGGTAGTGGGGATGGGGGTAGATGGGTGGAGACTGGGTGGGGGGGGGGGGGGGGGGGGGGGGGGGCTGCCTGCGTTTTCCAGGTAGCACTTCTCAGTGAGTTGCTGCTGCTGCTGGCGTGGGAATGCAGTAAAAAGCCCCCAGCTCCGGCCCAACCCCTTTGTTTACCCCATTTTATAGTCTGCTGGCCTACAGCTTCTGGTTAGCCCCCTCAGACTGGCCAGACAGACAAGACTCTGGGCTGGTGCCCTGGCTGGCTCTTATCCTCGCTTTGGTTCTGGCTGCCCAGAGAGGAGCTCCTTCCTACGTGGAAAACCTGGGACACATATAGGGAAGCCGATCAGTCAAAAAAGGAGCACTTCTGTAGGGCATTGCCTCAGCAGTGTGTGTTCCAGCACTTTCTCTTTTAACAAAGATTAGCTAAAGATTACGTTCAACTACTCAGCAACAGACCATCTTAATCCATCTCCCCTATGTGTCCCAGGATTAACACCAGAAAACCATACAAATAAATGGTGTTGTTAGTCTGTTGTATGCCAGTGGCAACAAAGGCTTCTTAATAGATAAAAAATAAATCCTAATAGTTCATAGAACATTCATCAGTAGCTGACACCGTATCGTGTGAACATGTAATTTTGCATTTATAAAGAGGAAGTGATGCAACAGGAAGAGAGTGCTCAGTGATGTGTCTGCTCTGTGGGCTCACATCCCATCACTCTTCTGGGTAAATAACGTCCTCAGGGGTCTTGAAATCTGCTACCATTAATCCATGCATGGTGGTGGTTAACACATTTTTATATTTGTCAGAGCTATCTGTCTGTGTGTCTGTGCTTCCGTCCTTTTGATCTCTCTCCATCCTGCCAGCTCATGTCCTTCCTTCCATACCTACAGTATGTAACCCAGCCACCTCATATCCAGTGGAAAGGGTTTTGGGTTCTTAGAGAAGGCAGTCAGGAAATCCAAACTATGACTTACCCACACATGACCAATGATCATGTGTGTGTGCGTGCTTGTGTGCGTGTGTGTGGGAGATGGCACAGCTGGGGGCTGGACTGAGCAGATTGAACCATGTTTTCTCACACACTAGTGTCTGCTGACCTCAGCTGTTCATATTAACACCAGGCAACACCAAACCCACTAAAACAGACTGAAAACAGAAACACACTCACAGACAGAGAGAGAGAGAGAGGGGGGGGGGGGGGGACAGACGGACGGACGGACGGACCGGCAGACAAGTTTCAGGAGACTAAATGGCTTGATGATATAGCCTCAGTAGAATAAGGATTTTCCTTAATCATATACCTGTAATTATTGTACTTTTTCCCTCTGAGATAGTATACAGGCCTGTGAGAATATAAATGCTATCAAAATATTATGAGAAGCTCACTCTCACATTCCAGCAGTGAACTATTTTACCTTGAAAATGTATGCACTCACTAACTGTAAGTCGCTCTGGATAAGAGCGTCTGCTAAATGACTAAAATGTAAATGGTCTGGTGTTCAGGTGCCAAACTAGTTACAGGGGCACCAGTGACACTGGGGAAAAAAGTTTTTCTGGAGCCCTCCTATACTTAAAAAATATTAGTCTATTTATATAGGACCTTCAGATTTACATTTTACATTTTAGTCATTTAGCAGACGCTCTTATACAGAGCGACTTACAGTTAGTGAGTGCATACATATATATATTTTTTTCATACTGGCCCCCCGTGGGAACACTTCTTGGTTAAACATGAGAAGAAAACATCTAATGAAACAACAGTGTGTTGCTAGGCTACCTGACATTACAAAAAGTAGTATATAAGACTGTGGCCCCGGCCGTATCCACTTCAAAAGTCAACATCTAAATAATCAATCCAAAGCCACAATCTGTGAATCTGTGTTTCAGCTCATTACAATGGTGGCTATGGACAGAAGGGATGGACGGTAGTCCTAGAAAAGTCATTGTTACTGTAAATATTGTATAAAGACATGTCAATGTATCAGGAAGTGCCATAATACTACAGAGTTGTGGTTACATTGTGTTGCATAAGAGACATCCCAAATACATTTCTGTGTGTGTCAACTCCCTACTTCCATCCCACGACCAGTACTGTATGTTTCACTATGTGAACATGCGTGGCAGATATAAAACTAGCTGTCAAGCGAACTATCAGTCAAGTCACAGTGGCCTAGCTATAGCTAATAGCTAGAGTCCTAGCTTTACCAAAGCTGAGCTTCTAACACCTTCCCTACTACAGTATCCTACTACAGTATCCCCAGTCAGAAGCAGCCACTCTACAGAGAAAGTTCATCATCTGTCGTGTCAAAGCTGAGCCTGAGCTGAGCTGGCATTAGCATCCCAAAGGTCCCAGGGTCTCATCTAGGGCGCCTCCACATCCACTAGGCTTCTAGAGGGTTGAGAGGGGTAGGGGTGGGGTAGGGATAAGGGGGGCAATCACTGTCTCCACTAATTATTTATATCCCTTTCAAAGGCCTTGGTGATTGGAAGAGGAAAGTTTAGATTTCCTGAACTTGTAACGGAAACGCAAAAGTGACAGACGGATCTTAGGGCTCAATCCACATCAGAGAGGGCTGGGGGGGAGGGGGTAAGGGACAGGGGTAGGAGGAGGGTTACGCTGTGGGTTTAGGAAAGGGAAGTGGCTATTGGTGTGTTTCACTCAGGTCCTATCTGTCCCTATGGACAACAACACCTTTGCTTAGTCACACAGAGCCACAGTTACACCAGTCACTAATAAAGTACCATTAAAATACAATACAACGACCGCAATAGAAACCCAAAACTCGCTCCACTCAAACCCACCTTGAATTATCGGTGATAAACAAAAGAAGAAAACACAGACAGATAGTTCTATGGTGGAGCTTGAAGAGGCTGGTGAAATGACAGTGGCATGGGAAGTAGCATGTACTTTCATGTTATTACAGTACTGTTATATGTGTTACCTTATATCCTGAAACAGACAAAGAGAGGAGGATGAAACACAAAAACAGGAAAATGAAGTCTGTGGTCACAGCAGATATACTATATGCGATGAGATCAGGAGGACCACTGAGTCTGAAATCTGTGAGAAAAGATAGATGGATTCAATGGTGTTCACACTAACTTATAGTAAAGCATCTTATGAAAGAAAATAACAATGAGGTTATTAGACTTTAATGTGACAAGAGACACAAACTTAAGTGTGTGTGTGTGTGTGTGTGTGTGTGTGTGTGTGTGTGTGTGTGTGTGTGTGTCTGGTGAGTTGTTTCTTCTTCTCAGGGCTGACTCATCCTCGTCTCTGTGTTTACTTATTTAGGCCAGTGAAGATGAAGACGAGGTCCTCTGGAAAATATGCCTGGCCTTATAACTGTCCCTTTGTGAAGCACCAGGCCTCTGTAATATTTCTCACCTAGGTGAGTGTGTGTTGATGCCTGAGGAGACTGGATGGTTTAACCCTCACGTCACCAATGGACCAGGCCAAGGAGATGATGGGAAACACAATTTGACAAATAACATTTACGTACACATTAGAAATTAAGGAATTACATGTATCTTATTTTCAGATGTATTATTGGTTGAGTAGAACAGCACCCATACAGTAAAACTCAACACCAAGTTTTTATTTAAATACATAGGCCTAGAACCAAAAAGAAGTGAAAACATGTTTTTCAAAATTTTTGCTAATGTATTGAAAATGAAATACAGAAATATCTAATTTATATAAGTATTCACACCCCTGAGTCAATACTTTGTTTCCATACCTGGATTGTGCAACATTTGCCCATTATACGTTTCAGAAATCTTAAAGTTCTGTCAAATTGGTTGTTGATCATTGCAAGACAACCATTTTCAGGTCTTGCCATAGATTTTCAAGTAGATATAAGTCAAAACTGTAAGCAACTCCAGTGTAGATTTGGCCTTGTGTTTTAGGTTCTTGTCCTGCTGAAAGGTGAATTCATCTCCCAGACTGAACCAGGTTTTCTTCTAGGATTTTGCCTGTGCTTAGCTCCATTCCATTTCTTTTTTATCCTGAAAAACTCCCCAGTTCTTAACGATTACAAGCGTACCCATAACATGATAAAGCCACCACTATGTTTGAAAATATGGAGAGTGATACTCAGTAATGTGTTGTATTGGATTTGCCCCAAACATAACACTTTCTATTCATGACAAAAAGTGCATTGCTTTACCACAATGTTTTGCAGTATTACTTTAGTGTCATGTTGCAAACAGGATGCATATTTTGGAATATTTTGTATTCTGTACAGGCTTCATACTTTTCACTCTGTCAATTAGGTTAGTATTGTGGAGTAGCTACAATGTTGTTGATCCATCCTCAGTTTTCTCCTATCACACCCATTGAACTCTGTAACTGTTTTAAAGTCACCATTGGCCTCATGGTGAAATCCCTGAGCGGTTTCCTTACTCTCTGGCAACTAAATTAGGAAGGATGCCTGTATCTTTGTAGTGACTGGGTGTATTGATACACCACCCAAAGTGTAATTAATAACTTCACCATGATCAAAGGGATATTCAACGTCTGCTTTACCCATCTACCAATAGGTGCCCTTCCTTGCGAAGCATTCGAAAACCATTGGGTTTAAAATTCACTGCTCGACTGAGGGACCATACAGATAATTCTAAGTATGGGGTACAGAGATGAGGTAGTCATTCAAAAATCATGTTCAACACTATTATTGCACACATGCAACGTATTATGTGACTTGTTAAGCACATTTTTACTCCTGAACTTATTTAGGCTTGTCATAACAAAGGGGTTGAATACTTATTGACTCAAGACATTTCAGCTTTACATTTTTTATTAATTTGTAAACATTTCTCTAAACATAATTCCACTTTGACATTATGGGTTAATATGTGTAGGCCAGTGACCAAAAATAGATATGTAATCAATTTTAAATTCAGGCTGTAACACAAAAAAATGTGGAAAAAGTCAAGGGGTGTGAATACTTTCTGAAGGCACTGTAAATTATTATTGTTGTGTGTGTGTGTGTGTGTGTGTGTGTGTGTGTGTGTGTGTGTGTTTGTGTGTGTGTGTGTGTGTGCGTGTGTGTGTGTATGTGTCGGGGTTGGGGGAGAATAGTGAGGAGCGGAGACAGAGGGCCTGGTCGGGATGGAGAACAGTCCTGTATTATGTAGCTGGTGGTGAAATTCTCTCTCTCTCTTCTCAGGCCTCAAAATAAAGAGGGGGAAAAGGAAGAGGCAGCTGAATGATATGGGATGGAAAGGTGTGAGAGAACCCCTTTACATTTATGACCTCTGTAGAGCTGCAGGAAGTGGAGTAGTAAACTGGAGTCACGCTCCACAGAACCCACTCAATTCCAAGTACATCACAGAGCCTGAGACAGAGCAGACAGGAACACAAGAACACACAGACCCACTGTATTCTGCCTCCCTCAGGATCAGTGGTAACTGTTAGACCTAATATAACCTTCATACACCAGGAAAGACTTTAGCCACACAAGTTCCCTCCTAAATCTTCTGACATTATAGGGAGGGACACAGGTTCAAGGCCTCACCTGTCTTGAAATTAACATATAACATTTGGAGTGATCTTCAGGAAACCACATGTAAAAAATAAATTGAATAAAATGGATAAGAAGATAAACTGGAAAAAAAATATGAAATTATGATAATTAATATCAGTATAATTTCTAAGTAGGCCTATATATACAACAACACATTAGGCTACAGATATTGCTCAAGACCATGGTATCAGGATGAGAAAAAAAGGGCCATAAGCAGATAATTTGGTATAGGGTACAATTATTAATCCCCTATAATCTCAATCCCCGATCTTAATGATAAAGAAGTCTAATACTTTTACAATGAAGTGTGAATAAATGTTTCCTCGATGTTAGTGAGAGTGAATGTGAGATCAGAAACAGACTGGCGGCCCCATTATGCAGATCTCCGATGTCACCTCGGGGCTATCCACACTTCGCCAAGTACAGGAACAGAGGAACAGCCTAATGGCCCGGCCACAGTCAACACTACACTTCTCACGTGTGTATTTGGGACAACAAAAGATTAGCATTATTCGCAAATATACAACTTAGTTCAAAGGCACAGTGGCTGCAGCCAGTTGCCCTGTCTCTTCCCTTCTTTTGTTTTTATTTAAATATTCAAAAAACTTTGTTTGGCCTAATCATCCAACGATGTTTTTTCCCATCTGACAAATAGATGATATAGCATAGGATACTAATCAACTATTTTTAATTCCATAAACATATTGTGTATTATTGGCAATAAGGCCTAATCACATGTATTTTTTTCGTTAGAGGGTCATTTAAGATAAATAAGGAATGTATGAAATATGAACAGCTCTGAAATGTATTACACTATGCAAAAGTAAACGAATATCCAAACAATTTTAGAAAATGCATAGGCCTAGGTCATGTAGGCGAAAAACCTAAAGGAAAATGCAATGAATACGTTATTCTTATTCAGACATGACCCTGTTTAAAGTGGGCCTAGAGGCCTATAGGTAAATGTATTAATTTTGTATTGACGCAGTTATGATGGGCCTTTTTGCATTGGGGACATCGAGGAGACGCTCGAAACGAGACCGTTAAGCCATCGGGGCGTGGTCTAGAACGCAACGCCACGCCCTTGTCCCCATGTGGTCCCTGGGGGGCCTTATATGATCAGGCCTTGGGTTCCGAAGCCAGTAGTACTTATCTCACTGTCAAAACTAATCTTCAAACAGTGAATCCTATTCTAACGGTACATTTCGCGGAACTCCACAAGAACTCATCCTATAGGAAATATGACTTCAAACTCCGACCAGCGGCTGGACCACCTTCTGAGCGTGGTGGAGAACGAGTTTCAGAAGGGCAGCGAGAAAGGAGATGCCTTGGAGAGGGATATTAAACTGGGACTAGAAGACGCAGAATTATGGACCAAGTTTAAAGAACTAACCAACGAAATGATCGTCACCAAGACTGGCAGGTAGGCTATGGTTGGTTTTTGCTGTTAGCTACGGATCAAAATGAGGCCTTCGAGGCCTACTGGCCTGCCTCGCTAAAAGCAAAGTTTATCTGGAGAGATCTTAGCGCGCATATACGCACGACTTTACAAAGTTAAACGTTACTGATGCGCACAGGTTAGATCTGCAACAGGCATGTTCAGCCTTTTAGAATAGTCTAGATGAGAGGGTGTTGGCCAGGCAATAGGCCATATCTATACTTTACTGCTACAACTTGAATACCATGTCAAGAATTAGGCATAACGCGCAACGGTCGTCAAATCGTATAAAACCTATTATTAAGATAAAGTAACAGGCCCAGAAGTGGCACCCATTTTAATGCAAATATATCTATGTCAAATAATTCATTTATAAAGATCAACGGCTGAGCCAACATAACATAATATTTGGGCTTGCTTAGGCTATATGTTTATTTAACAACTTTATTTTAACCTACAGGCGGATGTTTCCAGTGCTCAGAGCGAATGTGAGCGGCTTGGACCCCAACGCCATGTACTCAGTCCTCTTGGACTTCGTGGCTGCAGACAACAATCGGTGGAAGTACGTGAACGGCGAGTGGGTTCCCGGTGGCAAGCCCGAGCCACAGAGCCCTAGCTGCGTCTACATCCACCCAGACTCGCCTAACTTCGGAGCGCACTGGATGAAAGCACCTGTTTCATTCAGCAAAGTCAAACTGTCCAATAAACTCAACGGGGGAGGACAGGTAAGGCCCCGATTTGTTTTGTCGTCTTCTGGGTTCGTATTTGTAGTACGCTTATTCATTATTATGTAAATCAATTTAAAGTCAACTTGGTAGGCTAGGTCACATTGCCCAGCTCTCTCAGAGCTAATGATGCTCTACCCTGCTGTGCTGAATTACAAAGTTAGGCCTTTTCTGGGGAAAAACGGTGTTCATTTCATGGCAAATCAACTTCACAATGTTTTATTAGGCCTCTGTAGGCCCATTGCACATTGCTATCTTATTCATTTGGGGTGTGTGTTTTAGATATTTTTTTGTTTTAGATAAAAAAAATGTATTATGCTTTATTGTGATATTATTAAAATAATGTATAATTTATATCTAGATCATGCTGAACTCTCTGCACAAGTATGAGCCCAGAATACACATTGTGAAGGTTGGAGGGATACAGAAGATGATCAGTAGCCAGTCTTTCCCCGAGACTCAGTTCATCGCTGTCACTGCTTACCAGAACGAAGAGGTCAGTTGGCCTGAATAACACAGTCACAGAGATAATCATTGTTCACAATAATAAACATTATATTGTGTTCAGCTTACAGTGAATGAAGAAAGTGATTTTAATTGTCATATTTATGTACCTTCTAGATAACTGCATTGAAGATCAAACACAATCCATTCGCTAAAGCTTTCCTCGATGCCAAAGAGAGGTGAGAGGAAGAGACTGATATTGTGTCAGCAATATGATGATGCTTTGTTCTGTATTTATTTTATTTTATGTGTGAATTCTGATGTTCTGCTTACAATTTTAGGAGCGACCATAAAGACATGCCAGACCATGGTGGAGACAGTCAACAGTCTGGTTATTCTCAACGTAAGTCTTCTCTTCAGTTCAGCAACATCAACCACATTAGAAAAGCTATTTCTATATCTCTCCATTTCAATTCCAACAATCAAACCAAGTCATTATATGTGACATAATTTTCCAACAAACTTTTCTTAAACGTTCAGAAAACAATTATCATCATCATCATACATCTTGATGTGCATTAACCGAACCATTTTGTCTCTTCTCTCCCTCCAGTTGGTGGTTGGTTTCTACCTGGTAACGGTCCTATGTGCCCCAGCAGCAGCCCCCCTCCGTTCAGCGGGGCCCCTGGCTACTCCTCAGGGTCCTACTGTGAGAGGTACTCCAGCCTGAGGGGCCACAGGGCCGCCCCCTACCCCAGCCACTACCCACACCGCTCCACCAGCTCAAGTAAGACCATCCTCTACCCAACCCAGCACTCTGGGAATCCACTGTTTACTGTTTATTCTGATCACTAGTCAGACTCATAGGTATAGATTACAGCATGGGGGTTTCATGGATTTCAAGATGTTGGTTAAAAAATGTTTGAGAAATCTCCCCTGAAGGAAATGCATTGTTTTGATCAGAGAAATGTTTGTATGTTGTTTTTAGTAATTTCTCTATGTACTTTATTGTTTAGACAACTACATGGACAATTCGTCGGGAGCCCTGCCCCCCCATGACAGCTGGTCAGCCCTGCAGATCCCTAACTCCACTGGGATGGGAACCCTGGCCCACACCAGCAACTCCGCATCCAACTCCAGGTATGGCAATACATGGTCATAGTTGATCATATATATGTTTTCTGATATCACACTTTTAGTTTTCGTGACTTTCCTGACTACATGACTTGATCAGGAACATTCTGGGCCTAGGCCTAAACTTAAGGACGAGATAGGGGAGAAAAAAAAAAGAAACGAAAAAAGCGAGAGGCGCGATCTAGAGATGAGAGGAGAGAGAGAGAGTGAGAAGAGAGGAAGGAGAAAGGCTACGAGAGAGAATAGAGAGAGAAGACCAGACTCTCTATCTCTCTCTATCGCTGATCTCTCTCTATCTGATCTCTCTCTCTCTCTCTCTCTCTCTCTCTCTCTCTCTCTCTCTCTCTCTCTCTCTCTCTCTCTCTTACAGCCAGTATCCCAGCCTGTGGTCTGTTGCCGGGACGGCCCTAACTCCTTCCGGCTCCGCCTCTGGTTCAATCGCTGGCGGCCTGACCAGCCAGTTCCTGCGAGGCTCCTCCTACACAGGCCTAACCTCCTCCCTGCCTGTATCCTCACCATCCTCCATGTACGACCCCAGCCTTAGCGAGGTGGGTGTAGGAGTGGGCGAGGCCCAGTTCGAAAGCTCCATCGCCAGGCTCACTGCCTCCTGGGCACCCGTGGCTCAGAGCTACTGAGCACAATGCTTCCATAGCCATTGACTCTCCTCAACCACCATCCTGCTCCACATCACCACCATCTCCTCTCTACTGCCTGACTATCAGCTAGGAAACCTTTGGGTTGAAGCAGTACATGTGGACAGCAACGCCTGTGAAAGGCAGAGAGTCAACTCAGAAGAAGATCTATCTGAAGCAGAGCGATTTAGGGTCCTCTCAGGCCTTGTGTTTTACCAACATGACATGGTTGGTCTTCCATTCCAAAAACCCTAGGCATTCTAAGCCTAAGTCCATAGGTTGCCATTCTGAAGTTACATTGGGAGTTTCCTTCACTCTCTCCAAGGTGCAGTTAAAAGCCAAAGACAATCTGAATATACTTCCACTACAATTGTTCCAGTTGCTGGTGTGTTACTGTTGTCGTGTCCTTCAGTACAGACACAGTACACCAAGACAATCGTACGCTGGCGGAAGACAATCAGGATCACTAGCTACCCAAAGCTAAGTTTATGAAGTAACCCCCTCAACTTTACTAAAGGGGCCAATCCTTATGTTTGACTGTTTATTGTTAAAATTAGTTTAGTTATTATTATAATACAGATAAATAAGATGAAATAATCTGTTGATCTAACATAAAAAAATGTATATGTGTGTATATAAAATAAATTAACGTCCATTTTCATTGTTAGCCGTTTACATGTAACTGTTTTGGATCCAGTGTCAGTGTGTTGCTTTTCGTGGCCTGAAGGAAAAGAAAGAAGGAAAGAATGAAAGAAAGAAGTGTATTGTATCCTCCCACAGTAGCCCAGGAGAAAGCACAGGTGTCTCTCCTCTTTCGCTCTGTGTACATTCCCTCCCTGCCAATAATATGTACATATCTATTCTATTTGTATTTGTTGGACTCATTGGGAGTTTATGTTTATTTATGTCATTTTAATAATAAATTAAAAGTTCCTTTGTTTTCTCAAATATGACTTCAGTGTGTCAATTACAGTCACATTCACTGTCAATGAAATGAGCCATGGCATGCACTACCTTAGTGTGTCTACCCACCACAGTACTGTGTCTACAATCATACAATTTCCATTTCCTAAAAGGTGAAGAGGGATTGAATCTATACATTTCAGCCCATGTCATATTTAAGTTTATAATATAAAACTGCAAGCCAAAGACTGAGCCCATGTCGGCATGAAAGCATAAATAATATTTCTCAGGACTAAGGTGAATACATAGCCTACTTCAGCTGGCATTCATTAGCACAGATACATCTTGTTTTATAACCGTTATCATCACAACTCAAATAGAACTCTCACACAGTCCACACAAGCAAACGAGAAGCAGGCCAGTTTTTCATAAAGAGCCAAATTGTGAGGAAATAACTGTTGAAAATAAGACCTTGCCAAAGTATTATGGTTATCACACATAACCTACACAGTACCTATCACACATTGCCTACACTGATGTTGTGGTCTCCTGCACCCAAATTCAATCATCTTTTGAGGCTGCTGGATGGAGTGTTTTATAAATACTAGTGCCAACACAGCTATGCTAAGTGAATCGTCTTGTGTAATTGATATGACACGTAGAGACGGAACCATTCAGGTTGAGGAATCCTTCTGAGGGGTTTCCATCGCTGACGCGTCTTTGTGACAATCTTCATGAAGGTGTGACACACGGCTAACACGTTTAGAATTCCCTGGCTGTCATTAAACAAAAAAAGTATATGAACCCCAAATGCCGTATGCCAACAGGCCAGACTGCCTCGCACCAGGGAGAGAATTAAAATGGAAAGCAACAACGCCTCAAAGCTTTATTTAGAACTTTAACTCTCCATTTTCATGGTTGTTTTGCTTTATGTGTCCCTGAAATGTACATTTCTCATATCGTGTCTTCTAGTGTATTGGATGAAGCGGGTCAATCTAATTTGGACCATATCATCCTCTCATTTCCCCAACAATAAACCATTTGTATTATACTGTAGCTAATGGCAGAGCAGGGAAGCCAACCTGGGTCACTAGTGTGAAAGGCAAACACCCTACGCATCATGCCAATAGGGTTAACCCACTTGGTGGGAATTGTAATGTTTCTTATATAGCGAGAATTGCTACACTGCCCCTTCTGAAAAGGAAGGCACGTCCCCGTGCCTCGACTACTCAGACCCCTTACATGTCCGGGCCGTGCGTTCCGATGGCCACCATCCCACTTCTAACACCAATGTAGCGAATGGCAGGGCAGGGAAGTGAACCTAGGTCGCTGGTGTGAAAGTCAAACACCGCCAATAGGGTTAACCCACTTGGTGGGAATCGTAACGTGGCTCATATAGCGTGGATCACTACAATACCATGGACACCCATCATAGGTATACACATACAGTGGGGAGAACAAGTATTTGATACACTGCCGATTTTGCAGGTTTTCCTACTTACAAAGCATGTAGAGGTCTGTAATTTTTATCATAGGTACACTTCAACTTTGAGAGATGGAATCTAAAACAAAAATCCAGAAAATCACATTGTATGATTTTTAAGTAATTAATTTGCATTTTATTGCATGACATAAGTATTTGATCACCTACCAACCAGTAAGAATTCCGGCTCTCACAGACCTGTTAGTTTTTCTTTAAGAAGCTCTCCTGTTCTCCACTCATTACCTGTATTAACTGCACCTGTTTGAACTCGTTACCTGTATAAAAGACACCTGTCCACACACTCAATCAAACAAACTTCAACCTCTCCACAATGGCCAACACCAGAGAGCTGTGTAAGGACATCAGGGATAACATTGTAGACCTGCACAAGGCTGGGATGGACTACAGGACAATAGGCAAGCAGCTTGGTGAGAAGGGAACAACTGTTGGCGCAATTATTAGAAAATGGAAGAAGTTCAAGATGACGGTCAATCAGCCTCGGCCTGGGGCTCCAATCAAGATCTCACCTCGTGGGGCATCAATGATCATGAGGAAGGTGAGGAATCAGCCCAGAACTACACGGCAGGACCTGGTCAATGACCTGAAGAGAGCTGGGACCACAGTCTCAAAGATAAGCATTAGTAACACACTACGCCGTCATGGATTAAAATCCTGCAGCGCACGCAAGGTCCCCCTGCTCAAGCCAGTGCATGTCCAGGCCCGTCTGAAGTCTGCCAATGACCATCTGGATGATCCAGAGGAGGAATGGGAGAAGGTCATGTGGTCTGATGAGACAAAAATAGAGCTTTTTGGTCTAAACTCCACTCGCCGTGTTTGGAGGAAGAAGAAGGATGAGTACAACCCCAAGAACACCATCCCAACCATGAAGCATATTGAGGGGAGGATGGATGGGGCCATGTATCGCGAGATCTTGGCCATCAACCTCCTTCTCTCAGTAAGAGCATTGAAGATGGGTCGTGGCTGGGTCTTCCAGCATGACAACGACCCAAAACACACAGCCAGGGCAAATAAGGAGTGGCTCTGTAAGAAGCATCTCAAGGTCCTGGAGTGGCCTAGCCGGTCTCCAGACCTGAACCCAATAGAAAATCTTTGGAGGGAGCTGAAAGTCTGTATTGCCCAGCGACAGCCCCGAAACCTGAAGGATCTGGAGAAGGTCTGTATGGAGGAGTGGGCCAAAATCCCTGCTGCAGTGTGTGCAAACCTGGTCAAGACCTACAGGAAACGTATGATCTCTGTAATTGCAAACAAAGGTTTCTGTACCAAATATTAAGTTCTGCTTTTCTGATGTATCAAATACTTATGTCATGCAATAAAATGCAAATTAATTACTTAAAAATCATACAATGTGATTTTCTGGACCAGATCCTTTGGAGGAATATAACAGAACACTGAAAATGTCTGTAGCCACTTTTCTGGATTTTTTACATGCTTTGTAAGTAGGAAAACCTGCAAAATCGGCAGTGTATCAAATACTTGTTCTCCCCACTGTACACTTTCAACTCTTATATTCCATCTTTGTCATGATAGGCATCAGGTTAGGTTGATATGTACTGAATGATGATGTCACCGTTATCTCTCTGCGTTCTTTCTCTGACAGGCTGAGAGAGCAGAGCGGGGGACCTGTCCCAGGACTGGACAGTGATGGAGGTTTCCACACCAGGGTGTAAATGAAAACTGAAGGGTCACAGGGCCACCAGCAAACAGTAATGAAGCAGCAATGTGACATCCAGCTGGCAGGGCCTGGCCGGGTTAGGGTTAGACTGCAGCAGGCCGGAGAAAAGCAGCCCTGTGTGCTGGAGCAAGGAGCAAATGTTCCCCTCGATCAGAATACCTCCATACCTTCATTTTACAACTTCAAACTCCATACCTCTGTCCACTTTATGGCAGCTTCAAGGAGCATTAACTTTCACATTTGATCATCTTATGACTGAAAGGACTGGGATGTCCAAGTTTTTTTGTGTTGAATATATGAAAACTGTAGTTTGGACTGGTTCATGTTGTATAAAAAAATAAGAGTTGTGTAAAAGTATCTCACTTGTGTCATCAGTGTGTGTGTGTCTGTGCATGTCTGTGTCTGTGTGTGCACACGTGTATGCATGAGTGCGTGCCTGTGCCTGTGCATTTGCTTGTGTGTGAGTGTTTCTGGATACTCAGTGAGGATGTTTGCTGATTGGGCAGCACATGCTGGTCTTTGCTCAGTCTACCAGTGGTAAATAAGTCCTGCTGAGTTAGGCCATCTGTCTGCTCTGTTATGGGATGTGTGTGTAGCTGCAGACAGACATACATACAGTAGTTCAGTGACTGAAGTCTTTGTCCGTCCAGAGAGCTGAGTACACAGCTTGCTCCGATCGCTCCGATCTGCAGTCTCTGTTGGTCCTCGTTAATTGTGTGTGTGTGTGTGTGATCCAAATATGCTCTACAGAGTGTGCCCAGCATTAGGGTGTGGAGGGCTGGTCTGTGTATCCCAAACAGAAGAGGTCAATTGAGTTTTGATAAGTTAAGTGGTGTTCTAAGGCCCCCGGGTCCCCTTTTTAAGAAGAAAAAGTGTGTAGGTTTTTTAAAAAGGGAAATGAAGATGATAATTAAATGATAAAGA